AAAACTTCTTCTACCTTGCAGTTTGTCTCTCCTGTTGTCATTCACTTGCAGTTATCACTAGCATCTATATAGATATGAACACTTCCTCTGTAGTTTCCAGGTGGTTGCTGGTAGAAGCAGTCTCGGTGCCCCATGCTTTGACATATAATGAAGTGTACAGCAGGAAAAAGCAACCAAAGAGTATAAGAGACCTTGGATAATGGATCCAGAAAACCTTCAACAGTAAACACAACATGGACACTAACAGTGAAACCTCAAACATTTCCTTTATCTTACAACAAGTTAAATATTCTTTGCCATGTGTGAAACTAATTGCAGAGCAGCAGCCAATGTAATCATCATGCAAACACCTGTGTTAATTCAAGACGTTCAAAGACATCTGCCGAATGGCTCTCTGATACAATTTTTGTCCACTTAAAATGCAAATCCTGCATTTAATCGTCTTCTGCCACACAAAGCCTTGATGTGACTGACATACCGGTAAGTCTCAGGAAGTGGAAGCAGTGATGGTGATATTTTAGTGTAAACGAAGACTAAGAAACCATGATATGTATCTGAATCGATATCTAGGTTGGAGAGTTAAAAATAAGTAGTTCATGGCATGGGGGTAGGTAAAAAATCATTTAAGAACACAAAACAGGGTTTCCCTAACATTCATTTATTTTTGGCAGCCTGCCACAATTAAAACATCTGCTGCCACAAATATATTTTCTATTTTTGTAGCTGGACCGTTCATTGTAAGCACAATTGGAATATATATACTATTCAGTTTTTTATAGCACCAAGTGCAGAGCGCACTCGAGGCCGAGACGGAGCAGGAAAACATCAGGCGCATTGAAAGTGAACCTTTACTGTTCATTCTGCTGGGTCTAAAAGTTTGCATTTGCTTGCAGCACCTGCTCCTCTCATCCATTGATCTGATCTGATCAGCTCTGAAAGGGTCAACAGATCAATAATCCACCCTTCCATTCACAAACTGCTGCTGAGGAAAAAATGAACTCATGGAGAGCTCCACCTGTGCTGCATCCATTTAGAGACGAGACACAGAATGATACAAAGGGACACTAGAGTTGCAGTGATATATGGGTTTCAAGGTATAATGTGATCTAAAGGTTTTCATATCGCGTACATTTGCTTATCTACGATATTTAAAAAAAATGCAACTGGATGTTGAATCTCTCCTTTAGTTAAGTTATTTAGGGGAGACTTTTTAAACGCACTTTAAAATTTAAATTATAGTAAAAAAAAAAAAACGTCTGTTCGAACAACAATAATCCTTCCATTTCTATTCCTTTAAGGGTCATTCTGACTGATAATAATATAAATTCTGTAATATCATAATACTGTGATATTTTCTGAGACAGTATTCGTATTGTAAAAATGTCATACCATTGCAACCGTAAGGGACACACAGACATTAAAAAAAAAAAAAAAAAAGAAAGTTCGCAGTGGTCATCAGACCACCTCCAACCCCCCATCATCAGCTATCGCCACACATACACTCTAATTCTGACGGAACCACTGTAATACAGGACACAACTGCAATGCTATGTATGTAGATAGTACTTGACTTAAATGTGTAATTCTTCCAGGCAGTACGCTTGACCATGCTGAATGCAGTCTACTTTAAAAAGTTCTGAAAAAAAGAAAAAAAAAGGACTACCTTGACAATAATAAAAGAAAACAAATAACAAATAACTAGTGTGGAGCAAGGCTAAAGAATTCATTCTCTGAGATCCTTCTCTTGAAGTAGCTTTTATTACTAACAGGTAATCTAACGTGTGACTTGATTACATTCAAGCTCCAATTAATATCTTCTGTGATTGGTAAGATGCTCTAAAATTGAATTCCCCCTGGTATTTATAAAGTAATTCTTTTTATTTTTTTTCAATTAGGACTACTGTACTCCACATAGGAGCTTATCAAAGCATATATTAGGTCAAAGACAGAAAAACACCACAGACAGACACTGACACACGAGGATGCCATACACATTTCCAGTGGTGTACATTTTTTAAATGTTCCCTTTTTTATTACAACCTGCTACAACTTTAAAATGTTACTAACACATTCATACTTCAGCAATAATAAATAATAATAACATACAAAATATAAACAATTCTGTATAATAAGTGTTTTCTCTTCTGAATACATTTTGCTGACTGCTATCTTTATTTCATCCATCTATTTACTGCCCTTACATGAGCCGATGCAAGTGCTAGTCACAGAGGCTGAAACCCCCTTTCCTGCTGCAGAATTGTTAGAGCTGCATCTGACAATATTTATTTATTTATTTTTAACGAATGTGGACTGATGACACAAAACCTTGTGTTAAGTCTCACTCTGCTGCATACAATAAAATTTTTAAGATCTTATAAATGTTTGTGACTTCCTGTTTAGATTGGTGATGAAAACTGTCTGACTTGACTTGGTGGACATATCCACCAGGTTGACCTATTATTAATGCACAAACTGAAGGAACTGACAGGATTATATTTCACTGGCATTGCATCTTATATGATGTCCAGTGACAATTAAATTGACTGACTGACCATTTAGTTTTAATCACCATTGTTCTGTCATGGTTAGATATCTGCCCCCTCCCCACCCAACAGAAAGGTGAGTGAATTAGCAGCTATTTGTATTCTGCTAATACACTGGCTGATGAAGCAGTCAATAGAAACAGGAGCTAATAATGAAGAGAAACACATTCCACTGCAGTCTGGACGCACTGACGAACTGCGTGCACTTTCAGGTTGACAGAGCCAATAATGGCTCATTTTCCCCAAACTGAATGCAACTGACTAATGCCCCTAACAAAGGGCTAACAACTGTACCATATCATATTCCTGGACTCCACAACAACAGTACTATCTTAATTAGCATAAAAAGGCATGGGTTTATGGGTACATTATGTATTGCCAAAGCCTTATTGGAGTAGAGGTCTTATGAGGCCATGACATTGTGTGACACTTCTTTGTGTGAGTGATCCTGTAGTATAATTTATCAGATTGAGTAAATTATCATAGTATCTCTGACCTTTAGGCATACAGAGGTATGTGTTTCAAAGATGATGAACAGTCAGTGTCTCAGAGCTGACATAGTTTTATAAATGTTATAAGATTAGCACTGAAAAGACGGCTGATTCGTTGATTCGTCAACAGAAACATTAATGCCAAACATTCTCTCAAATGTTACTCAAATGTGAGGATTTGCTGCTTTTCTCTGTTTTATATCCGTGTGAACTCAAATCTCTTTTGCATTGCATTTGCAGATGTGGGATGAGCATTCATTTTCATTATTTTCTGAGAGAGATATTGATAATGTATGCTTTAATATTTGCTTAAAGGCTTGACTGATCATTCTTGTTAGCCATCTCCGGTCAACTTTGTTTTCCTGACATTTAGGTAATAACTTAGGCACTTTATGGTAGCAGTTGATAATCTTATTCACAGATGCTGATATGTGAAACTTTGTAAAATGACACCACTTTATTGGGTTACTACCTATTTCCTTCTCTCATAAAACATACACTAATTAAATCATGGATCCCCCACATAAAACACACACACACACACACACACACACACACACACACACACGCTCATCATATGAGGTATAATTAACAACCTCAGCTCATACAAGTCTAGGAAAGCTATGACTGAAAGCAGCAGAGACACTACAGTCTCCAGTGCTACAGAGAGTGATGGTCAGACTGGCACTGCACTGAGCTACATTCACTTTCTTTCTCTCGGTTTCATTAAAACTAGTCTCATTTTAATTAACACCAAGGGCATCAGTTCCTCTGGCAGTTGCCTACCACAGTTGCAGTCAAATTCTACAGATGCCCTTTCAGTACTGTAGACCCACATAAAGCAAGGAAGGCAGCATGCACAGAGAAAAATATTCATATTTTAAAATCTACAGTAACATGTTTGATAAGATGAGGAGAGTAGCTTTAAAAGAGAGGAACATTTAATTTTCCTCCTCCCAACACCACTACTAACCTATTATTATTACTATAATAATAATTAGCCTATTATGATTATTATGATTATTAAAAAGAAAGAGGCATGTCAAATAATGTTTTAAGCTATGGAGAGGGACTTATGTTTTTTATTACGGCTTAGTCGAGGGGAATTCAAATGGTTGTATTTTGGATGCATTTCACCGCCCAGGTTTGGAGGGCAAGTTTTCTTTAAAAAATTGCAACAGAAATCATCTTGGATTTTCACATTTCTGACAGTCATTGGACATATCATGTGTGACAAATGCTTCCAAATCTGAGTTATGATATATAAATATATATAATGATATTGACATTTCATCAAAATCACTAAATTCTATGTCTCATTTGAAATTTGGCCAAAAATAGATCATTTGCACAAACTAACCAGCATGCATGACAAGAGTGTCAAACCAAGGATGTTTTCAACTCCAGGATTTGGTCTTCAACTTTTAACTTTAAAACATCAAATGGTACATTTAAAAAAAAAATCTAATAACTAATTTAAAGTGGAGGCAAGGTCATTCAGGGAAGCTCAAGGGAAAATATTTGTAACTTCAGCGAGGGTCAGAATAATGGCAATATTATTAATAGAAATAACAATCACTCCCAGCCATCCCCCTCCTCTGATAAGTAAAGAACAGTCCCTTATCTTAAAATGACCATACAGGGTAACCCTAACTTCAGCGATGGAAAATGGGAAAGCATAGTGTGGTGTCATTTTTAGACCAGCTAATAATGTTATTATTTTTATATTATTATTTCTACTACTACTTTTATTTCTACAAGGTGTAGTTAGACGAAATTTGCTATCATATTATGAAAAAATACGGCCGTCAATTTCTGTCGTGTGACGTTAGCTAAGGGTAACAGTTACAGTGTGCAAATGTGGGTATATAGTGGGAAGATAGAAGTGTGAAAGGGTACAAGAAGTACGTGGGTTTATGGATATGTGTGAACTAAAGGTGCGCTGCAGTGACATGTATTCACTCACCTTACTGCTGTGAACTTGGAGGTCGTCGAGCTGAACAGTTGATGAAATCGGCTGTTAACGTGAAGTCAGCCTCTCTCGCCTTCAGCTCAAGTAGAGCAAAGTGCCAGATGTTACAGAAAGACCCGTGAACTTCTCAGCTGCTATATTCTCCTCTCGCTCGTTTGTCTGTGTGGTGAAAAGCCGAACAGCGTTGAATGCAACTCCTCTTCTCTTTTCCCATTACAGAGCTTTAGTCTGACTGTGGCTGTGGACGGACACCGACAGCTCACTGACAGCTTCGGTCCCTGCACGGCTTCTGTCTTCGTTCCTGGAGAGAGAGCGTAGAGAGCAGAGGTAAGTTGTCTTGAGTCATTTAAACAGATTTATAACTCCTCCTCTGACGCTGTGAAAGGGGGCGTGTCTCCCGCCTCTTGTCAGGATAATGGATGACTGCTGGGGAGAGTTTTGCCTACTTTAGGATGTTCGTATTAAGTCACAAAATCATCCTTGCAGCTGCAAGATCAGCAATGATTTTGTTTTTTTAAGGTTTAGAATAACGAACTCTCATTACCTGCTTATTATTGTTGGTGGGAGAAGTATTCAGATGCTTTTAATAAAAGTTGATGAAGGTCAAAAGCGGTTCTTTGCGTGGAAACATAGGACTTAAAGCTGCACTGATCAATATTTTTACATTAACAATGGCTTAAATGAATGTGACACGTAAGCAGTGTCACTGGTAGTGACAAACCTACGACTCTGCATTTTGTGTTAAGACTCATTTACACTCCCTTTACATAGGAAAATATATTTGTTCATTTCAAAGGTTGTGACCATCACTGCCCACACACCTCCATGCATCCTTTATTTGGCATAGATACAGCCACTGGATGGCACTAAAGAGCAGAGTGAAAGATTTTTGACAACAACAAACATGGCGACGACGATAGAGGAGGTCGTAATAAAATACCTTTTAACTGAGGTAGTGTTGTAGTCGGCGGTCATCTATCAGGCCTTTACACACATTGCAACACGTGGATGGAGAATTCTTTAATTATATTACGAATTTATTCTATTCTGCCATTTTAAAACTGTCTTTGTCGTGTCTTATGTTTGTATCCCACTTGAATTATACTGCCCGCATGATCTCTGGTGGTATGGTGGTACTGGACAAAATGAACGCAGGGTATGGACAGAGGGCTCCGTACATGTCCGTATACACATCTGACATTCAGCATCAACAAGCAAGTAGCGCGACACAACTTTTTCAGTGTCTTTCAGTTGTTTTGGTTTTACACACGGCGTAGATTTTGGGGGGACCCAGGGGACACAAGCAGCAGAGGACATTTAATTTGACAAACTGCTAGAATGCAACTCACGCAACAATGCCTCCGGTAAACTAGGTGGTAGCATTATGCAACCTCAATGGTTGCAATGAAATGGAAAAACCAGAAGCATCTATGCACAGTTGATCAACAAGTTTAAAAAGAGGAGAGTCATGGTGTCATATCACGTCATACCAATGGGTTACAACACACTCACAGTGAAATATGATATGCACTTGCCAAAAGGCTCAATAGCTGGCTCGCTATCATAGATCATGGAGGATGATTGATTTGTTTCACTAAGGCGTTTATAGTCTGCCTTGGATTGGAATGTTTTTGTACGAAAGATAAATATAAGGGTGAGGATTGCAAAAAGTGCACACCCAAGGAGGCTAAAAAAAGCGCACCCAGAGAGCACCTTTGGACACCTTCCCTTTATTTCTGTGCCATCTGCTGTAACCCTCCAACATGACATCTCCAGTTACATTGTCCCTTACTGTGAAGTTCCCAAATAGCATGTCCCAGGCTACCTTTAATGGCCTTGAGTTGAATCAGGATGTGCCATGACATTTCCACCATTATTTGATGCAAAAATGGCACAAATTGGTGCATAACAGCTCCCCAGAAGGCAGGAAATGGCTGTATAAAGACTACTGGATACAGAGCTGGAAAGGGGGCCCCATTCATACCCATGAAAGTTGCATTGTGGTAGGCTATATGAAGCCAAAAGAGTGCCACATATAAAATTATTATACGATCAGCGCTGCATCTGCACTGTGTGGCCCCTAAAGCAGACGCACTAGAGACTTCCGCCAGCCGAGCTAGCTACTTCCAGTTGAGTGCTTTGTTAACAGATCGGGATAAAATGATCCAATCGTGCAGCTCTTCTAGACTTTACTAATGTTATCAGACCACATGGATGAAATTCCAAAAGTGAAACGAGGGAATAAGTCTTTTTGGGCCCAATGGCATGACATGACCCCCAAGACCCCCCGCTTATTATGGGTACCCCCAAGTGTTGAAAAAAAAAAAATGCTTGAAATATTGTTTGCAGCAGCAGCAGCAGCAGCAGCAGCAGGCAGCTGTTTTCTGTGAGAAAGCTCTGATAAACCCACTGTACACTTCCTGCCCAGCACTAGAAAGCTCACAGACAAAGTTAGTGACTAGCTAGTGGACATAGTGGAGCATTTAGCAGCTAAAAAGACAGATTTTAGCTCAGGAGTTGGTAGAAACCATCGCAGAGCAAAAAGGAGAGTGAATATTGGACTTATATCGGACAGGAGGTCAGACACATGACTCCAAATGAATAATGATGTTGCTCCATGTCTGCTGGATGTATAAACAAGCAAATTTTTGTTAACACATTAGCAATGTTAACTTTGTATGGTGAAAAAATAATTAAATGAATTTATGCTGGTTTTATAGAAGAGGCTCAGGTGAATGTGTTAAAGCCCAAGTGGTATAGACTTTTTCTGCTTTGTTGCTTCTGCTCTGTCTATTGATGGCCCACTAGCAGAGGTGGCACCAAGCCATTGTTTTGCAAGTCACAAGTAAATCTCAAGTCTTTGCACTTAAGTCCCAAGTCAAGACAGCGAGTCCGGAGTCAAGTCCCTGGTCAAGACTAACAAGCCCCAACTCCCAAGTCCTAAATTTTGAGTTAAACAAGTCATAATGTGTTCTTCACTGAATGTAATACTGTTTTAGCAACAGAGTAATAATATACTGAATTTAAAAATGTTGCATTTATTTGTTAAGGTAAGTTTGTTGGACATTGTTGTGTCTCCGTCTGTAACTTTTGATCTGCACATTTTACGTGAAAAGCATTAACATCAGACAATAAATAACATATCTTTTAATCTTTGGGCCCTGGAGGAAGGTATCAAGTATTTTCAAGTTAAAAGGCAAGAGTCATTAAAGTCCAAGTCGAGTTGCAAGTCTTTTTTGATTTTGTCAAGTCCAATTTAAAGTTGTCAAATTTGTAACTAGAGTCTTACTCAAGTCCAAGTCATGTGACTTGAGCCCACACCTCTGCCAACAATTATAATGAAATCACTTTACAGTTAGTGTTAAGCTTACAGTGATTCTAAATAACAATCAAGGAATACTCTCATGATGCCAAGATATTAGGTTAAAGTTTACTACAGAGTCTCCATTGATAAGCATATCATCATCTTCTAAAGATACATTAGTATTTTTAAGGCTACAGTGCAGTGAGACTTTTTTTACCCAAAGGGGGGCTCAGGGGGAAACTGTTTTAACCACAATGTCAGTTCCCTGTCAACACCTTTAATTATGTGGTTATTTATAGTCGGTTGTGTGTGTCTCTTGTGGTCTAACTAAGCCTATGGCCTGAACCACAGTCCTACATCACACCTGCAGAGGTCTGTAATAAGCACAGCAGAGTTTTACTGTCTGTGATAGTGCTGCTCAGGGATCCAGAGTCTCTGAGGTTGTCTGGTTATGTTAATAGTCTTATTAACCAGAATGGGCTTATATGTGAAGACGTTAGGGAACCAATCTGTTTAGTTAATGGGCAGGAATAAAAAAAAGCACAAGTTAAAGTGGCTGTGTTATTTGCTTCAACTGCTAACAGCTAAGGTGACTCTACAACATTAAGATGTGGTGGGGCTTGAAACAGCATCCAAACACATTAGCCTGTATCAGTTCATTTAGCTGTAAAAGGGTGGAGGCTGCTAAAATTTCTATTTCATTTGACATGTTGGAGCTCAGTCAGTGAAGACAAAAGAAAACTCAGATTGTAATGATTACCACATGCAGGCATATGTGTCAGACCCTGCACTCTGTGATTCCAGCAAAAATGTTTAGAGTGTGACCTCTGGTGGACAAACTGCTAACATGCAAGGCTGAATACAGAACCAGACATATGAAATACAAAATCTATGACAGCTTTTTGATTCATTTATTTATCGTTATATTTTATGCATGATATTGTAGTGTCCCAAGGGGTTGGCATGTAGGGACATGGTTTACAGGGTGATAGAGTCATAGACCTAAATCTCATGCTGATATGTTCCTGTGATGTTAATGAAGTTGTGTGTGAGTGTGTTCTGCAGTGTGTTCTGCTTTGTTCCCATAGTTTCACATGCATTTATTACTTGCAGAGGTGTTGGACCATAAGTTTGTCCAGGTGCACTGTCAAAGTAATAATAATAATAATAATAATAATAATAATAAGCTTTATTTTGGACACCCCTGATCAAAATTCCGTTTACTGTAAGTACTTAAGTAAGCAGAAGATCAACTGATTTCCAAAAAGCATGAAATTAAAGATGACACATTTCTTCAATATTTTGAGCAAGACTGTTTTTTAATTTCAACCTTTTCCATTTTCAAAATAACAAAAAAGGAAAAGGGCCTGAAGCAAAAGACTGGGCACCCTGCATGGTTAGTACTTAGTAGTGTCCCCTTTGGCAAGTATCACAGCTTCTAAATGGTTTTTGTATCCAGCTAAGAGTTTCAGTTCTTCTTGAAATGTTCCCAGTGTCACTGGCTGCAACACAAGCCCAAAGCATGATCGATGCACGCCGTGTTTAACAGTTGGACAGGTATTCTTTTCATGAAATTCTGCACCCTTTTTCTGTGTAGGTGTTGCTACACAGCAGAACAGTGCACCACCACTCCAGAATTTGCTGAATCTTCCTGCAGGTCTTTTGTAGTCAAACAGGGGTTTTGTTTACCTTTCTAGCAATCCTACAAGCAACTCTCTTGGAAAGTTTACCGGTTGTCAAGTCTTCCACTTGACCTCCACAGTTCCTGTTAACTGCCATTTCTTAATATGAACTACTACTATGAACAGAGGAAAGAGCTACCTGAAAACACTTTGCTATCTTCTTATAGTTTTCTTCTGCTTTTTTTGGCCATCAGTTATTTTAGTTTTCAGAGTGCTAGGCAGAGGAGCCCATGGCTGCTGATTGTTGGGACAAGGTTTCAGAATATTTAGAGACTCCGAAATTTGTATCACCTGGCCTTTCATAACAATTATTGTGAACAAGCTAGAGCCCTAACAAGCTAATTAAGGTCTGAGACCCTGGTAAAAGTTGTCTGAAAGCTCAAATATCTTTGGGTGCCCAAACTTTTGCATGGTGCTCCTTTCCTTTTTTCCTCACTCTAAAATTGTACAAAACAAAAATAATACTGTAATTTTGCTTAAAATGTTGAAAACCATGTTTCATCTTTAATTCCATGCATTTTGTAGATCAGCTCATCTTCTACTCACTTAACTATTAAAAGTAAACAAAATTTTGACCCGGGGTGCCCAAACTTTTGCATGCCACCATATATAGCACCTTCAAAACACAGTTACAAAGTGCTTCACAATAAAACCAGAACACATTTAAAAATATAAAGAGAAAAGGTACATAGTAAACAGGGTAGGATGCATTTAAGTGTCATAAAACACAAGTAAAATGACCAAAAAGCAGTTATAAGTAGCTTAAATGATGATACTTTGCGGCCCTGATCTTTATTAATTTGGACTTGAGAACAACAAGGAATGACACATGTGAGTAGGATTGCCGCAATATACCAGTTTCAAGGTATACCATGATATAAAAGTTGACAGTTATCATACCGTGTACATTTGCTTATCTACGATATTGAAAATAAATGCAATTGGATGTTGAATCACCCCTTTAGTTTAGTTATTTTCTAAGGGGAGACTTTTTACACATGCTTCCATTAACAAAATGGTTTGAAGTTTCAATTATAGTAATAAAACATTTGTTCAACCAACAATAAGCTCTCAGTTTTTATTCCTTTAAGGGTCATTCTTACTGATAATATAAATTCTGTAATACTGTGATACTGTGAAACCGCAATATTTTCTAAGACGATTATCATATTGTGAAAATCTCACACAGTTGCAACCATACATGTGAGTATCGCAGGGTGCAACAAGGGACATAGGGCAATAACAGATCAGATAAGTAACTTGGAGCAAAGTGTCTCAGGGCTTACTAAGTCAATAATAACACCTTAGAATCTATTCTAAAAGCAACAGGTAGCCAGTGTAAGGAAGCCAGGATCAGTGAAATGCGGTCATGTTTCTTCGTCCAAGTCAGCATCTTTAATTTATTTCCCTTTGAAATGAAAATGCAACAACTTACAATATTTTACTTTAAATTGAGGAGAGTCGTACAGAAAATGTCTTACAAATTTAAGAAGAGAAAGTTCTAGAATTTTTTATTAGTATGAGATGAGTAAATTACAACAAGACAGGACAAAAACATACAAAGTTCATTCTGTTGTGGTACTGGTTAATAGTACTATGTGCTATGAACGTACAGTATCAGCACTATTTTTTTAACCTGTGACTTGCAAAACAATGACTTGGTCCCACCTCTGCTCTGAGGTCATGATACTACACACTCCGTCCTGCAGAGGGCGGTGTGCATCATATAGCTAACGCTAGTTGCAATCTGCTATTAACTAAAAGAAGAAGATGAGCCGCAGTTGTTGTGATTTTGATAGGCAACCTTCGTATGGGGAGGAGATATCAGCTGGACAGGGCTCATATCGGAAACGTTTCTGTATACATCGTATCTTAAGGAACTAGGGAAATAAATGTTAATGTTCAACGCTACCAAACACCGAAACTCCTCGTTTAACGTTACTTTCCCCAGCTACTCAGAAGAGTAAGGGGTAGTGAATCAGCCTCCACACAGCCTGTGAGTATGAAATCTTCCGTTAGTTTAACTTCGTCATGTTGTTCCAGTTTGTGGGTTGTTGTTAACGTGCTAGCTTTGTTAGCTTGTGTTTGCTAAATTTGCTAGAGTGGCAGGTTGCCATGGGAAGCTAACGTTACCTGCCTTGACATTAACGTTAAGCTTTTATTGGTGTGAAGCAGGCTAACTAACTACACACAGCGAGCTAATACTTATATGGTTGCTTAGTTGGCATGGGTATCTTTACAGGGATTGTTAGCCTATAACGTATAGTACAAAATGTAGCTTGGTTGATAACCTTTTGGCTGTATTTGTGCTAGTTACGCTCTTCACGTCAGCTACGTAATTTACGATAATCCTCCCTCTCCTTGCCCACATCCGCACCCACTGGGCCCGTATTACTTAAACAGATACGTACAAATAGATAACGTTATCTATACATCTAAACTAATGAAGTGAATACTAAATGGTTTGGTATGGAATAACGTTACTAAATTTGTTGTGAATGTCACTGAATATGATAACACCAGCGATAAACTCCCCTAGCTCAGTTAACTGAACCCTCTCTTAGCTAAAGTGCCTGATGATGCGATAGGAGGGCCTACTTTGCGTTTATCTATAAATGGCAGAATACATTTAATTACGATGAGCAAATTACCTAAATTTTTATATCTTTTCTAGTCGATTCCCCTGTCACCACCACCCTTTTCTCCCAAAAATCAGAAAGCTGCTTTCAAATTTTATTTGTAATAATAGGATGCCAAGGATGCCATATGCATATATCCTCACATTTCTGTATCTACCTAACGACAGGAGTGGGTTACAAATACCAAATTTTCTGTGGTACTAAAGGACGGCCCTGTTACGTTTGGCAATGTCTTGGTTTTCCAAAGAGGTTGATTTTCCTTAGTTAGAAACTGAATTGTTATCTGCAGAAGGTTTAGCTCTGGGTAGCCTTTTATACTCAGCTCCCCTTAAGAAATAACAGAAAATTACAGTTAATCCTTTCGTCAAAACAAACAAACAAACAAACATAAAAAACATTATTGTTTGGCTTGAAGTACAGAAATATTTGTGTTACTCCCCCTCACTTCCATGTTTTTCATCAATATGGGGCAATGAACCCTGGCTAAAAAATGACATGGGCTTTAAAATATGGTCAGGTAAGGGCTTATGGAATGACAGGATCTTCATAAGGACAACAATTAATTGTCATTTGATGAGTTTAGGTTGAAATATGACTTGCCACAGGACCATTTTTCAAGTGTTCACAACTTAGAAGCTATGTTTTATCATGCTTAAGGAATTCTTTGCAAAAACCATCAGTGTCCACATTAGAAGCATTTTCTACACAGAATTGCTTTTGAAAAGGTCAGGCTACTAATTTATACAGTCTGTTGGTTGATTTCCATAAGGACAACACTAAAAGTAAGAGAATGAAATGGATTCAAGACTTACAAGAGGACATGTTAGAGAGTTAATGGGATACAATATATATATATATAGCTCAAACTCAAACTATCAATACTTGACTGAGATTACTACAATATAATTGGGTAATGAGACCATACATCACACAGCTGAAACTGAACAAATTTGATCAGAATATTGCTGACCAATGCTATAAGTACAATATACATCAAAGGACCTTGATTCACTGCTTATGGGAGTGTGTTCAGATAAAAAAATTCCTGGATGCCGGTGTGGCAGTTTGTGTCTCGGATGACCTCATCCCCAAAACCTTTAAGTCCTAGGCTGCTTGTTAGGCATCTTTCCAGACAGTTTTATCCTGCCTAGGAAAGAGAAAACAATGATTGAATTATGTTTGCTACAGGCAAGGCGCTCAGTTGCACTCTGTTGGAAGAACGTGAGTTGCCCCTGTCTTTTCCATTGGTTGAAAGATTTAACAGCTAGTTGGGCTCTTGAAAAACTCACCTATATAATGAGAAATAGGGCTTCTGAGTTTATTGATATTTGGGAAATGTTTTTAGAATTTGTAAAAAAAAAAAAAAAAAAAGGTGACATTGAAGATGCTTTGGAAATGTAAGGCTTAGATAAAGGATGCAAACCAATGTGAGGATAGCGTGCTGTACCCAGTCCAGTGCATTATTCATAATAATAATAATAATAATGATAATAATAATGTTATTTATTTCTTTTTATGTATGTAGTTTTTTATGATTATTAACTGAAAATTATTATTACTTCATATAGGCTATAATACCAAATGTGGGGCAGGGGGGTTCTTATGTATTTGTGTAACTTGTTAAATGTTTAAAATCAATAAATATTAATTTACCAAAAAATAAATAAATGTCACATTCTGATAAATCTAAAGTAAAAATTAAAAGATGAACGAGTAACTGAAATAGGTTGAATAATCATAGTTTATTTAAGATTAAAATATTCAATATAACCTTTCCGTTTGTGTCATTTATTTAATCCCATTTTACAATTGCTCATTTTCACATGTCCTGGTCCTGGGTGTGTTATTATCTATTTCCAATTTCCTCACACATTCTTCTCACTTTTTTCTTATCATTACTAAGATAAGGGGAGTTAAGTGTCTAAAGTACCTGGGCGATAACAGCTCCTGCACATAGGGTCACCCTTGAAATGTGACATCACTGAAAGATTTCTAAATCAACAAGGACTGGTTGTGTGCTGCTTGCTGCAATCTATTGTAGTTGAATAAGTAGCTCATGTGCGTGGAAAGCTGACTGCAGTCAGTCTTGGCAAACATCACATTTTTAAATCTTGTAGATCTCCTCAAACATATATTAGGAGAGGTGACATTACAAGGGTGGGCTGAAAAGTTTGTAAGTTGACCATGATGCAATGGTTGAATTTGGCCAAATGTGGTTTATTTTTCAACATAGTCTCCCATGCGGTCTACACACTTCTTCCGTCTGTGTTGCGGTGCTTGGTTCCCCTTGGTATAGAAGCTCTCACCCTGATGGTCAAAAAAGTCCTCAACAACAAATTTGTCCTCATCATCAGAAACAGAAAATATCATGGGTCAAAAACTGTGGCACCCACCAAGTGGAAAACTTTGACATGCCAAGTTCGTTGTACAGAATGTTCTCTACTCTTTCATGGGAGATGCTTACAGCATAAGCTATCTGATTAACAGTCAAACATCTGTCATCCATAACCTTGTGGTGAACACAATCAGTGTTTTCTTTGGTGGTGGCTGTGGCAGGACGTCTGGACATTGGGTCATCTTCAAGGCTCTCCCTACCCCTCTTGAATTCAGCAGCCCACTTTTGCTCAGTTGATAAAGCTGGAGCATCATCCCCTTATGTAGCAACCATGTCAGCATGAATGTCCTTGGGGGCTAACTCCTTTTTCTGCAGATATTTGACAACACCATAGTTCCAAATTTTGTCTGTGTTCATGAAATGTCTCTAGTACTGATATTCAAAGTCCTCAATTAGCTGTCAAATGTGGGTTTATCTAGAAGGAAACAATGCAGTTAGTATCAGGAAAGGTTGAATTCAATGCATGCCATTTCATTGCTCATTGTTTAGCCCATGAACTTTTCAGCCCACCCTCATAGCTTCTGGAGCTTTAACATGATTTGGAAAACATATAAGGACTGTGACTTTCCAGCGAAGTACGGGGTTTCTCTATTGACTTTCATGTAGTAGTAGAGTTGTCTTAGAGCCAGCATGTTGTCAGAGAAATTGCATCTCTAATCACATCTTTGTTGGCTTCAGCATTCAGCTGTGATGGTTGCTTATTACATGGTAGCTTTAGTGGATGCATATTTCTGCTTTTCAGTGTCAAGATAATATGGAGAATCAGAACTTTCTGAAGTATCTTGTCAGTGTCGGCCATCTAGCAGTTCAGGGGTGTAGTCAGTTCTTTCTTTTCAAGTAGTCTCAAAAAGCCAGACCTCGAGTCAATCCAGCTTGAAGGGTCACTTTTATTTTGTCCATTCTTTCGTTTTGAAACGAGTGGTTAAGCCCAGCAGGTTTGCATTACAGACTCTGCCTGGTAGGGCTGTTTTCTGGTGGTTTGTTGTTGCTGTACAAAGAATGCTAATGCATACTGTCCATGTACACCCAAATCAAATGGAAACATGCTGGTTGGCCTTTATTATGTAGCTGCAGGAAGACTCACCGCATAAGTGAATCACAAAGGGTTAACTCTGTAATCAATAAAAGCAGGCCTATATGTAGGTTTGCACATTTAGTATTACAAGTTAATGACTCATTCTTTTCAATAGAGCAGGTTGAAACATACTGAAATATTAATTAAATGTGAGCTGATCAGAAATCAGGGAACTTCCTGGTGGGTGAAAGAATAAATAAGAGACAGGTTTGCCCTCAGGAAACTGTAGCAGAGGTGGAGAGGTATTCAGATCCTGGCATCTTGTCTCATAAACAAACTAGTGACTGTTGTATCCTAAACACTTGGCCTATTAACTAGGCCTACAGTATGTGGTATTTTTGTATGTGAAATAGCCCCTCTGCTATTTTTCCTAGGTGTTAATGTTTTATCTTATCAAAAATATACATTCATTTTTATAATGATAGGAGATGTTGTCTTATTTCAGGTGAAATGACCCACCTCCGCCATAAAACCCTTTAGGAAAGCTGAGAGCACAGCCGTGAAATAATAGAACTGAGTAATTGGAAGACGTGTGAGTAAATAAAATTATGTTTAATGTATGCTATCAACATTTTGGGAGCTGATGGGAATAATTGGCTATTAAGATTTTGACTTTTTAGAAACACGACTCCAAATGAATGATAATGTTGCTCTGTGTTTGCTGAATGTGTAAACAAATAATTTAGGATTAACATATTCACCGTAACAGCTTTCTGAGGTGATAATATTTTAGTGCTGTTTTTTCAGCATTTTCTGCTGCTCCCATGTGGCCAAGAATGTATTCAGATAGCTTTAACTTAAAATAGAAACATTTAATTAGTTCGCAGTCATCGTTTGGCATATTGTGGGACAGTGGCTCCCAACCGGTGGGTCGCAGTCCAAAAGTGGGTCTTCACTCCATTCTGAATGGACTGCAAGTGACTTGCAAACGTGTCAGGTCTATAAAGAACCCCTCAGTTTTGAGTACAGTGGATTTCCGGCATGTAGAGTGAGTGACTAATGGATATCTACTTGACAAAGACCGCAAACTAGCTGGATGACATGGCCAAACCCAAGTATGATGCTGATTGTGTCATTACACTGTGTGCTATGCTGGACCAGTTGGGAACCACTGACCTTCTAAAGGATTATTGCAATATGAGTTCAAGTCATGTTGCTTTACCTGACTATTGGATTTTTTTAATTTTCAGTGTGCAGGCACTGTCAGTGCTTTCCAACCGTCCATCAGTCCTCTGGAGTGGTTCTTGTAGTGGAGGGACAGGAGGAAAAACCCAGCAGGCTGAGAGACAACAGGGCAGGCAGGACTCAGGATGCCTCTGTTCTTCAAGAAGAGGAAGCCCAGCGACGACTCCAAGAAGAGACTGGAATATCAGCTGTGCCTGGTAAGAAGAGTGTGTTTACGTTAAAATGTCCATTCATCCATCCATTCCTACCTACCTACTTACCAACCAACCCTCCCTCCCTATCTCCCTCCCTCCCACCCACCCACCGAGCTAACTGCCAAGGCAAGACAGCTCCCAAAATCACAGGGACACAGAAACCCCTCCTCAAAAATAATTTTCGGAGGGTATGTTACAATGTGTACCAGCTACTGCTGGTGCTGAGGGTTGCATCAACAGCCTGCATGATAACAATGGGACAATCTGGAGCCATTTTTGTATTTTTAGGAGTATGAGGCTGTATTCTTTATTCATCAAAAATGCTTTGACTTTTGCACTATGTGTTTTTGCTGTCTAACCCAAACCCAAACCCAATCAATGTTGTTTCTTGTTCTTCAGTCTAAGGAGGCAGGTGCTGATGACATCCTGGACATCTCAGCCTGTGAGCTGTCAGAGGTGAGTACAGCTACTGCATTGATATTATATCAAATGTTTTTTTGTCTAAATTTTGAAAGCAAGGTTTAGTACAACTGAAGATATTGTTAAGTTACCTTAAAGGAACAGTTCAGCATTTTGGGATTTAATTCAGATCCTTTTTCCACTTTCTCATTTATTCCTGCTCTTTCTGAGAGCAAGATTGGAGGATAGTTAGTAGGGATGCACAGATTGTGAAATTCTGGGCAGATATCGATACCCATGTTTGAAATAGAAATTTGGTCAATAGCTGATACTGATGGGTTGTTTTTGTTGTTGTTTATTTTGTTTATGTTGTTATTTATTCACCCCTTTGTGACAGGGAAACAAAGAAATCTTCAAACAAGAATGACTGAACAGTTTTAAAGTCATTCAGCCGTTCATTCTGTTTTTGAATGAGCACAAATTCAGTCACTCAAATTCATGAAACAACCTTTAATGCAAGGGTCAGCAACCTTGGGCACCACCGTGCCACCACTGGCACACCGAAACTTAACTAAAAGCGCACTAGCAATAAGTATGTAAGAGAGTTTTTTGAAATGTGTAAGTGCAGGGTTTCATACATCTGCCACCATGTTTAGTTTTCTATTTTTGGATTTCAACACAGATTTGCTGTTCACAATGTAGCATTATCAGGGAGACAGTAGGTTGTATCCTCTGACGCCTTGATAGTGAGTTTACTGCGTGCTTTTGACTCTAAGGCGTCCAGGGGAAGACCTCTGTTTGTCCCAGACATGTTGTCTATGGTCCCCAGAAGACAGAATAGGTTTAGTCTGGAGCCCTGGTTTTAAGCCTGCATAAAATGAATTTGAAACAACAGAAGAACATCTTCCACTGCCATCAGTGAATGTCACTTTTTTGCTGATCAACAAGGTGGATACTGGCTGACACTTGTGCGCGGCTGATAAATTAGCGCATCCTGAACGGCTAGGGATAATTTATTTTAGTCAGAGAAGTGGTAGTTTATGACCCATGTCTAGCCAGTTGTGAGGGAGGGTTAACTGACGTGCGCTGTCTAATTCAGAGTGACACAATGACACAGGACAAACCCTCCAGTATTTATATCTGGGTGGTCTACCATAACCCTCCTGTTATGTCATTGGAAACTGAGTTTATGTCAATGGATGATTGAATGATTAAATATCAAAGTAGAAGCAAATTCTGCTTTGGTTATGAGCAAAAGCTACTTCATTTACATATGTTTCAGGATTGATAGTCACTTGGGTCATGCTCTTGTATGTGGATGTTGACTTCTATGTTTAAACCTATGTTCAAGTCCTGTTTAATCCGTTACTGCTTCATCTGCAGAGGCAACTGTTTGTAAAATTCTGTATTGATCAGTGTGTGGTTAGCACTGCAGATGATGACATCTGTGGTCTGTTCTTCCTCAGGTTCCCTCGAGTGCCTTTTCCATTTGTAAGGTCCTACAGAAAAAGGTAAGAATTACTACTATGTATGCAACACCTGTGTGTCAGCATTTGTGTGGGTCCCTGGCTGAACAGTCAGACATGTCCCTCTGCTGCTCTACTTTAGGTCTTTATCCTCCATAATAATGAACTGAGGTCATTGCTGCCCAAAGGATGTGACATCAGCACTCTTGCCGCTTTAAAGGTAATGCAAACCAGATACAAGCATGATGGGAAATTAAAGTGCCTGTTAAAACTGTATTACAGTGTTATGATTTTGAAACCAGTTGCCCACTTGAGACATTTGTGAAGATGGATAGTTTGGTCTGGATTGCAGTTCTCTTCCCAACTAAAAGCTGTGTGAGGCCAGGTTTTCTGTGGGAATATAAAGTCACAGAGCTAGTGCTTCTGTTTTATAAGCCCTTTTTACACAGAGATGGCACTATAGGGCTGCTACAAAGTCCCTTCTTTATGCCGCCTTTGCATTTTTACACAGAACCAAATGACAGCAGTATCATTCCGCTCCAGTATGTGATTTTTAGGCAGCATGCCAACATTGCAGAATCGACCTCTCGTGTGACATAAAAGATACATGTCGGCAACGCTTTATTAACAACAACAATACCAAAACATGGCAATAACAATCATTTACTGTCCCTGTTATATGGCAGCTGATCTCATCTTCTGCTTGGAGGACAAAGGGGCTTCCACATTGCTGCGCATTAACTTGCCGCCTCCAGTCATTTAAACGAGGGGAAGGCAGCAAAGAGGAAGCAGTTTTCAACATGGTGGTAGGGATATGAAGTGGTTGCCGCCCTTGCTCTGCCACGCTAAGTTCGCCGTTTTGAACTTGTGGCGGTTGCTGCCTGCCCGGCCGATCAATTAGCAGGCATCATGGAGGCAGAAGGAAGACGAGATGGAGGAGCCGATAATTTTGGTGTGTAAATACTCAGTTATGGTGTCAGTAACTTATAAGAACAACCAGTTAGGCGGTTGACACGATGGTTGATAGGGCGATTGACAGAGTTGTTACTGCATGACGTTGAGAAGGTAGTTTAAGGACCCCCCGTACCTCACTGTTATCCCAATTTGCAGACGTTTACGGCCTTTGTTCTTCTTGAAGTTAGCCATTAATTGCTAACAGCGGTGGATAGCTCACATAACACATCGTCAAAACGTCACACCCGTCATGCCCATGATCCTGTCATACTGGCTGTCCTGTTTGTACAGACACAGTTTTGGCGCTATTTCTACCTCCCATGGCGGCTTAAAGGCAAAACCACTCTGTCCCGGTGTAATGGCACGATATACCCGCCTTGAACAGGCAGTGTTAAAGGGGCTATAGTCAACATGTGAGCAAGCATCTAATCTGACACTGAAGAGAAGACCAGATTTTTATTTTTTTTATTCTAATCTCTCACCCCTTCGTCTTCACAAAAAAGCCTGACTGAATGTGTCTGCTTTCAAAGGTTTTAGATCTGCATGAGAACAAGCTCACTTCACTCCCAGAAGACATTGGGAAGCTGGCGTCACTGCAGGTAAAGCCATTTTTAACTTTACTCCTGATAAAGGGGAATGAGTGTGAGTGAATGCTATTCACCATCCATGTGTGTCTATTTTGTGTTCCATCAGATTCTGAATGTGGAGAAGAACCGTTTAAAGGCCCTGCCTGAGTCAATCGGGGATCTGCGGTTTCTGCAGACGCTCAATTTGAAGGGTATGATGCTTCATTTTTCCTCCCATGAGTGAGAGGACATGTACAAGTCAAACGGTATTGGTTATGTTTTTCTACATCACTGTGTATTTGTATAGGTAACTGCCTCGGTGAGCTGCCATCCTCAGTTGGTTCTTTATGCAGCCTGCGCACCCTGGATGTGAGTGACAACAAAATTGTCGAGCTCCCCAAAGCTCTGGTCTACGTCCGAACCTTAGAGGTGTGTGTCTGGGACTCAAACTGATAGAAATACAGGGCTAAAACTTAGATATGGTTTTAAACAAACTCTGTGTGTATGTGTACTGTGACAGAGCTTTACATTGGATGCTGCCACGATGTCATACCCACCTGCGTCTGTGTGTACAGAAGGCACAGAGAGCATCCAACGCTTCCTATGCACCGGTGAGGGTTACTTTATGGTACCCACTGTTCACACACACATACACACACTCACATGACTACCATGTAGATTTATCAATATGTATAGATATTTTTCTGCTTGGTAAAAAAACAAACAAAAAAAACATTTCTCCAAATTGTCAACAGAGTAGGACCAACATTGTAAAAATGAGGTTATCCAACAAGGTTTTAAATAGTGTTGCTGGCCAGCACCAACAAGGTTTAAATTAATTCAGTTGAATAAAGTCAGATAACAAAATTTTAAACTCATTGATAAATCTGAAGGTGCAGCTACACAGGAGGGGGTTGTCTGTCTTCCATGTGTGTGACAGAACAGTTAGAACAGTACTTCTATTTTAAGCAGTCCCACTGTCTACACAGGCCACATAATGGTTCATTCTTCACTCACGTAAATGCACCGAAGCATTTTTAAGCTTTCAGCTATTTTTTCTTCAATTTTACAAGCGCACCGTAATTGGCTATTTTTGGAGTCTAAGGGCCTGTGTCCATGTAACATTTTTCTTCAGCAGGAAAATAGTAGTGGCGCGCTGGAAAACACTCCCAGCGCTTTAGTTACGACGTGCTACTCGTGGATATGTTTCTATGATAACAATATCTTGACATTAAGGAAACCTAGGTAGCTAACGTAATGATACATTAACAGAGGATTTATTACACAGTTAACAACAAGTTCACAACGTGTATGGTGATAAAAGTACAATACTCACTAGCAGCATTCAGTGTGCGGCCGATGTGCTTCTACACTTTTCTGTCTTTGCTGTAATAGTTTCTGTCTGACATAAGGATCTAAGGCTGTCTGAGTCACTGGCTTCGTTTAAGTCTCTCCTAAAACATACTTCTTTTGTAAAGCATATCCTGACTTTATCTGAGCTGTCTGTCTATTTTATTGCTATCTTATTGACTTTAATGACCTTTTATTATCTTGATTTTAAATTTGGCCTTATTTTATCTTTTACTAGTTGACATTTCATGACATGTTGACATTTTATGACATGTTATTTGTTTTATTCTTCTTGTGTTTTAGTTGTGTTTTTAGTTTTATTGTACAGCACTTTGTAACTGTGTTTTTGGTGCTATATAAATAGAGTTTATTATTATTATTATTGTTATAATATATAGTAACTAAAGGAGCGGTAGTGACATCACCGGTGCCTTTCTGAAAAGCAGCAACACACACACACACACACACACACAAACCTCAATTTTACGCTCCTGGCACACATTTACTTTAAGTCGTAGTTGGTCTCTACTTTGAAGTGTTTTGATAACATAGAGTTCTGTAGCACAGAAACTAAAGCTACACCAAACTGTGGCTTCTTACAGGGTTCAAAACTTTGTGCAACACAAACAAAACTTGATTCAAAGTGATATATGACAAAGTCCTTGTTGTTGTTGTGGAATTTCATTACTACAGAAGGACATGTCATTCTTCAGTGGAAGTAAGAGAATGAAAAAAAGGTTAAAAGGTATTCTTGTGTCAATAGACTCTCTAAGAGAATAATATTGGATGTCTTTGTTGACATGGTTTTCAGAGCTGGGAGAGGAGTACTGCCCACCATCACAGTATCTCCTGCCGGTGCTGGAGAATGATTGTGGCAAACAGAACTCTGACTGTTTGGATGGCTTGGAGGAGGCCTGGCAGGTACAGTAGGTGACAACACAACCATATACAGAAGCAGAAAGTCAGTTTTATGACCATGTAGTGCTGTTCACTTGGACCTTGTTCATTGCTGCCTATACTGCATTAACTGGTTACTGGAAGTCTCATTCAATCTTTCGTCACTTTCTGTTGCAGAACAGATTCAGTGACTACGAGAAGAGAAAGGTATGGGACTGCAGTGACACAGTCACTGTTTTGGTTCACTCTGATCTGTGTTGTTTACAGCAACAGCTCTGACAAATACACTGTGCACTACCTCCTCAGCACCAAACAGCACATAGACATAGTTAGAGACTAGCCGGTGAATATAGTGGAGTGGAGTGAAAATAATTTGTCCGTAGTCATTGTGTTATTTACCTTATTAGTTGGCTTTTAAATACATTTTTTAATATTAGTTTATATTTTACTGTCTGCATTTGCAAAGCTTAAAATTTGTCATTGTACACGTAGAGTACAGTAGGAGGACATGCTGACTTGTCCCTCTGTCCTTCAGGAGCAGAAGAACCAGGCGAAGCTGGACTTTGAGCGGCATCTGGAGGAGAAGAAAAATGAGCACGCCCAGCTTATACTCATGAACAACTCCCGCAAGGAAAATATCCTCAACTCAGTCCGACAGGTACACAATGTACTCACTCGCACCAGCGCTTGATAGATGTGCATTTTATCGATTGTTTGTATGTCTCTGTGTTGATGTAATTAGGGTTCTAACCCCGAAGGGGTAGAACCCTTCTAAGATTGTACCGGTTTATTATTATTATTATTATTATTATTATTATTGTTATTATTTTTTGTTGTCTGCCGCTTGAGCTCAAATTCCCGTGAGCTGGAATAAGCCAGAAACCTGAAACTTGGCCCAATGATTGGAAATGATGTGCATCAACTTTTATTAAAATATGAGCCCAGTCGGCCACATGGTGGCGCTGTAATTAAGGCTTAAAAATGACTTTTTTGGGAGGCCACGCCCCTCACACCATAAGTCTGATTGACTTGAAATTTGACACACAGGTCCAGCTCAATGTGCTCTACAAAAAAGCCTCTGGGACCACTAAGCTCCGTCTGACTAGATTTTTTGCTAATTTGCATAATTTGAAAAACAGTAAAGTGACATAAACTTTTACAATTTTGACTCCATCAACACCAAATTTGGTACACGGCTTTGGGGGATGACAAGACACATTTCTATTATAAATGAGCCAGATTGGTCAAAAAACATGGCCGCCACGGACCAATGAATCTTTGCTGTGGGCGGAGCTTAGAATTGATTGGCCATAACTCCCACACCCTTTGACCTATCATCACCAAACTTGGTGGGTAGGTCCACAATGAGACTTGGAAGCTGCCTACCAAAGCATTTTGAGCTCAGCCTATAGGGGGCGCTATAAATGCCACACATCTGTATCTCAAAGACCATTGGATGGAATTTCACCAAATTTGGTATGCATGCTCTAGGGGTGGCTATTAACTCATATCTTGAGTGCCATGTTGATAGGTGAAAGTGGGCGTGGCCTATTCGTCATTAACCGTCATAATTTGCGTTTTATTAATTTATGACCAGCTGGAAGGACCTAGGGACATGAAACGTGGTACATGGACTATAAATGACATCCAAATACTGCTCAAAAAATTTGGTCCCAATCGGCCTTATGGGGGCGCTATAACATAGAGTGTAAAGCTTGAAAGGCTCTGCCCGCCGCACCACAAGTGCTATTGACTTGAAATTTTACACACACATCCTCCTGATAGTCCTCTACAAAAAAGCCTCTTGCACCATGAATGCCACCCTTACAGAATTTTTGCTAATTTTAATAATGTTAAAAACAGTAAAATGAATAAGCTTTTGAAATATTTGTGCTATCAACACCAAACTTGGTATGAGGCATCGGGGGACCGAGACACTCATTTCTATTATAAATGAGCAAGATCGGACGAAAAACACGGCTGCCGTCAAGCAAAGTGTCCTTGGAAAGGGCGGGGCTTAGCGAATATCGGCTGTAAAATGTTAACCGTTTTTCCGATCGTCACAAAACTGGGTAAATATCATCAGAAGGGGACCAAGAACACACCCAAAAAAAGATTTTGAGATTGGCACATAGGGGGCGCCACCGCCAAACCGTTTTCTCCATTGAAAATGAATTACGGAATCTTCAAAAATCACAAAATTTCAAACGGTAACTACGGATTCATACTTTCAGCTAGAAACTCCATTCAAACTGGAAAATATTCAGCAATTCCTTGACTTTTTACATATGATTCAACTTTTCAATCCCATTCAAACTTTCCAAAATATTCAGCGTTTTCTGAAACTTGGTTATAATGGAAGTCAATGAGAAAATCCTTCAAACTCACTCATCTTCACCCACACTTCACGAACTCATACATTCACGTAGAAACTCCATTCCAACTCTGAAATGTTGACATTGCCATCGACTTTCAGTGACTGATTCATATTTTCCATATCTCTTTTAGTTTTTCTACACCAGCTGTTTAAAAATCATGAAATTTTCAGCCCTTCTCAGAATTTATAATGGGTGTGTATTGCGTGGAATGTTGAGAGTTAGAGTGGGTGATGTCATCGCTAGAGTGCACAGCACCTCTGAAATCATCAAGAAATTTTCTCTTAAACTCGCTGGTGCGGCCACATCGTTCACTCTACATACACAAATTGTACACCAAATTGTAGGAAAAGCCGTTCCGGTCGCAGAGGTGCGACCGCTGAAGAAAATGGATTTAGGGTTTTGGCTGCAGGTGGTCTAAAAGGACAACAAGTCCAACCAACTGCCCCATTCACTCCCATGTTAAGTGAGAGCCCAAATTTCTGGAAGAAAGCAGACCATTCCACTTATGTCCATCATGGCTCTGGCCTCATTTTTCACACCACAGAAATGAAATTTACACCTTTGTGATCCGCATCCTGTCCTCTCGCTCACGGTGTGCTTTTTGTAGCTGTAGCACTTACGGTTTTTCATTAAACAGTTGGAGTTTGAGAGGAACTTTTGGCTCAGTTTCTGCCTTTTCTTGGTGTATTTAAATTTGACTGTGCCATTGCCAACTGGTGATTGGCTGAATCAACTCCAGCCGTTCGGCCAATCGTCTGTGTGTCACAGCACAGTCAAATTTGAATATTTCAGCAACCTGACTTCTTTGCAGTTAAAGCCTCATCATACAGAGGTAATTACATATGTGTCAGTCTGCCTGTCTGGGTCTGTCTGTCTCTGTCTTTCTGTGTCCATCTTGGACATTTTAGACTGCAGTCTTTTTTAGCTGTTAAGTTAAGCTGTTTTTTCTATCTGTAAGTGGACATACACACAGACAGACAAACAGACTCACACATACACAAACGCGCGACAGCACGTGAACATACACACATTCAGGCATGCACACACACACAGACACACAGTGATACATTTACTGCTATTAATAATTAGCGTATTGCTATGGGGATACTAGTTGGCAGCGAGCATCAGGCACACTCAAAATTTCATGTGAAATTTTCTAGTTCATTCATTCACTCATTCATTCATTCTTGAAAATGAAAATTTCATTCATGAAAATTTCAAATGCTCTGCAGAGATCAGATGAAGGCCACAGGATTTGTTTAAAGCCAATTTCCCAATTGCATATTTGAACCTAGCAACAGCTTTCTTTTTAATTTCACTCTCAGGTCCATGCCTTGATTTACCAGCGATAACCCAATTTTTAAAAGCTTCTCTGGCTTGCTGGTGGAGTTCATCCACATACTCATTCCAGCCTGGCCTGAAGCTGTACTTCTTTGCTTTTCTCTGAATGAGTGGTTTACTAGCCTCATTCAGACCCTGCACAATTCTGTCATATAGTACACATAGCTCTTCTTTGTGATTTGGCATACCACAGTTGAAATTATCACACATTATAGCATCATATGGAATTTCAATGTTACCTATGGTCTTCTCAGTCAAGTCATGATAATGTAGCAGGTCGTTCTCTGAGAGTTTAGCCCACTCAATTTTCCCACCATGATTAACCTGATTATCATCCGTGGTCATTGTAGGTAGGTTTTCTACATTGAGCATAATGGAGACAGGCATGTGGTCCATTGTTGCAAACCCATACAAAATCTCAACTTTATCCACACATTCATGGGCATCAGCTGTGCTTACACAATGATCTAGCCAGGATGTTGTATTCCAAGCCTCACTGACATATGTATAGCTATCTGTTGGCAAATGGATCTTACTTGTTAACAAGAGCTTATTATCATGACAAAATTCAACTAGGTATCGGCCAAACACAGACTTCCTATCAGAGATATCTGCATTCAAATCACCCATTACATAAATACGGGTACATTCATTTTCCTCAATAAAAGAGCCAATAAAAGCAAGCTTTTGAAGATATTCGTCCTCGTTACTGGAACATTCATAAGGTGTGTAAACATTCAAAATGATAAGAACATTACCATTATAAGAAACTTTTATTGCAACACACCAGTCTACTCTCAATCTAATCACACTGATCAGAGGGTCATATTTTTTATGCCACATAATGGCCACACCTCCAGGTATTCTGCCTTGAACCAACCCCAAGCTCAAATCTGTGGTTGACTCCCCCACCCCATGGAAGTTACTATGAACAGAGTTAAGCTTGTCCAGGTCCTGTTTAGCAAGAAAAGTTTCTTGTAGACAAAGAATGTCAGTTTCCTCAAGGAGTTTGTCAACAACAAGTCGCCGTGCCTTATCCGCTGCATTGTGTCCTAGACGCAGGCCGCGTGTGTTATATGACACAATTCTCATGAGAAGTAGACAAATCTTATGCATGTCACCCAAGTAAGCAGCGATGGACGAAATGATTACTGCATGTCATTTACCCAAGCTTTCTCTTTACATCATGTTTCTCTCCACTCTCCTTTCTGCTTACATGTATAACTCCTTGTATGTTCACACAGTTGATCCTGGGTTCCAACTCCAATGTAGTTACTCAGTCTTGTTAATCATTAATGATATGGTGCAGATTTTAAGTTTAATACTATTATGGCCAGGACAGTCTGACAGACTGACAAACAGACATTGCAGGTCTCTCTCACTCTGTGAGTTTTGCTAATATTTGATGACTTCCCATCCTACAACATAAGTGAAACAAACATGATGTCAGGACATTTTTTACCCTTGAAGAGGGCGGCACATGTAGGCCTATTTTAGATTTAGTAAAATGCCACAGATTAGCCTATGTTTTTGGAACTTCACCTGGTTGAACAATATGGTAAATAGGCCTACTATCATTTTGATTTCATTTGATTTGGAAACATAAAACATTACATAACATTTTTATAGACTAGTGGTTGTTCAGGTGGGGTTAAGAAAGATAAACACAAAAAGCAATGTTGTAGGAATTGAGCAGAGAGAAAACAATGACATAGAGTACTGGGCCTATCCTATTTGTACCTAGCTAATGCATCTGGGTCTCGTTTCAATTTGGTTTTTCCGTAATTTGGTTTTGAAAGAGAAAACGGGAAAACGGAAGCACTTCCGTTATTTCGTTTTGTGTCTCAAAACGGAATAACGGGAAAACGGCCGTATTTCCGTAAATCCGTTTTATTTTGAAAACAAAATATCAAACTATCAAAAGGTACACGGACCCTCACTACCACATAATACCACTTCATGCAAATGAAGCTATTATGTCATGTTTGAATAAAAAAGCCTGCATGTGCACATGTTGCTATAGTTATGTGACTTTTGAGGTCACGTGAATATATTTAGAATGGTTTGATAATTTGCCACTTAGACCATGGGGAGGAGACCAGCTGAGTAAACTGATCTGTGGATGAGAAACTTGCAACTGAAGAAGTTACCCCCACCCCCCGGCCTAGACACTGGGGAAGGTAGGGAATCTTGAGGTCACCGGATGAGGGAACTTCTGGGTTGAAGATCCAGATTAAGACAGTCTGTATCTTGATGGAGGTGGTGCAGGGGTGGAGGTGGGCTGGGAGTTTTGCTGAAATGACAGCTGGATGACAGCAGAGAGAGAAATTTGACAGCTAATGACGGATTGGTAGAGAACAGGGAGAGGCTGGCAGACTGTGACTTGTTGAAATATGTGAAGAAGGGTGGAGCAAGAGGATAGTGGGAAAACAGAGAAGTGGCTTTGAGGTATACTTACGTAAAGAGATGATCTTCCTGTCTGAACTTTCACTTACCTTCATTTAGGTAAAATCATAATAGTACACTCACATCTGTGTCTTTAGCCTTACAGAATATTTTACAGCCTCTCCCATACACATCCATTATTATCTCCAGATTTCTCCCAAAATTATCATGATCATGGAACTGTGATTGCTTAAACATTAAAATACCTATTGAAACTTTGAAATACGCATCAATAGGTAAAATTTCAATTTATGTTTTGATGTTCAAATGGAGTCTCTATGTGAAAGTATACCACAAATGTTATTAGCATGTAGGCTAGCTGAAAACCCGATTTCAAGAAATGTGTGACTTGGAAAGAGTATGTATTGCTTGGAGCTTTCAGGGACAGAGTGGGGAACGTCTTGCACTACGGCAGATGAGGGTCACGGTGGGTGGTGAGGGTCACGGTGGCTGGTTTGGGGCGGAACAGGTTAGAACCCGCAGATTGCCGCTCGCGGCTATATTCTTGTCCAAAATAATCCTCCGAGACCTTCTGTGCTGCCGGGGTAGATGTGTGTGTGTGAAGCATCCATGTTTTAACAGACATGGATGTAAATTGTAAGAGAAACTTGACTGGTGCACGGAGGCATACAACCGTGGGGCAGTAATTCTAGTTTTTCAGTGTGTTTCTTTGTTGATTTCTGCTGCATTAATGTCTGTAATCTGTCTGTTTAGGAGCAAGAGCGTCTGGAGCTGGGGGTCAGCCAGCAGCAGAGGGCTCAGGAGGCTGAGAGGCTGCTGGTGCTGGAGAAAGTCAGACAAGCTGAAGACAACATCAGCAGTCGCATCAGCAACATGCTGATGGACAAAAACAGGTAGGACTTGAAGGAAGTGGCTGTGTAGTGTATTCTTTGTTTAGTTGTGTAAAGTTGCTGTATGAATCTGTGTCATATTGTAGATGCTTCGTACACACAGATGAGTCTCTGCTAATTACACAATGTGTATTTTGATCTCTCCAGGCAGAAAAAAAGTGCAGAGTTTCTTCAAGCCCTGGAGGAGGAACGGTGAGTGGACAGACCACTGATCCATAATCTACTCATCTATTATGATATAATGCTCTCCAACACATAGCAGCACTCATCCAATTGTTTTCCACTTACCAGACTGGGCCTATTTATAGAGCACTTTAGTGCACCAAGTAAGATGCACAAAGTGCTTTCCAGGGGGAAGGAAAATAAAAACACATGACAGAACACAGGAGACCTTAAGAACATCACCATAAAGAAGCAAAACATTGACACTGCATAGTCACGAAAAATAAATTAGGCAATAAGAAAATATATTCTGTAAAATGGACATGTTCAGATTTCTCCCAGTCTGTTTTGATAAATTATCACTTATGTTCATCCGCATATGTTTTTGGTCACTGTGATCATTCCTCCTGGAAGACTAGTGCCTGCAGGTGTAAGTCATTATCTAACATTATGTCTGTCTCATAGTCTTCTCATGGAGATACACCTTCCTCTAGATCATAACTGTCGTTGTTTTAATAGTTGTCAGATGGATTTTACATGTTTACAAAGTTTAAAAAGGGCATTGGGCCCAATCCCATTTCTTAGCTTTACTTCTACCCCTCGTTCCAAAGTACCCTTTGCCCCTTAGAGTTAGAAGGGGTAGTGGTTGAAATCTTCCCCTATTAAATTAAATTCAGGGAGTCCAGAAAGTTCATGGAAGACAGCCTATAAATAACTTTGTTATCTATACTTAAGTGTTATTCACACAACTTGTAGATTAATTGCAATAAAGCAATTGTACTTTGTATTAATTGAATTTGTCTTATAATTCACACATTTTTTTTATGTAAAAAGTCAGAGCATCACTGAAAAATGTTCTCCTTCAGGATCCGTATGGAGCATTTGACTGCCATCACTCAGGAAGAAGCCAGTTCACTGAGGAAGAAGGAGGTGGCAGGTGAGGAGCTTGGCTGATATGTACTTAACCTAAACAGTGTTCTGTTGGTAGAGTCATGGCTGGAGTGGCTCTGTTAATCACAAACCATGGACCCCAAAAATGTACTTCATTGTGCCAGAGACTGTTACTTTAATCAAGCAGGCAAAAAAATAATGAAAATATTTCAAAGTATTTAATTAATTTACATATTTACAATGAATATATGGAGCACACCATCAACCAAAGACCTTAAAGCAAATTATATCAGTGTTAAACATTCTGGTTCTCTTGATGAAATAAGAGAGGTCTGTCTGGCCATCCAACACTTTGGTCCAGAGCAAGATATTGTGCCAAGTATTTCTGGATTGCAAAGAAATATACTGTAAAAATTCATGGTCTCCAGATGATGATTCCTGATTATTGTGAATCCCCCACCTTTTGATTTTTCACTATTATCTGGACAAAATGTGCTCAAGAAAAGTTTACCATAGGGTTGGGCCAGTGTAAAAAATGTCTAACTGGTTTGATATTAAGCCAAACACCAGAATGGACCAGTATACCTAATTTTACTACTAAGTGTCACCCTTGACTCAGTAGCTGCTCCTGAGTGCAGCCATGACTTTCCTCCTGCGGTGTTTACATGTTGCCTTATCTATGTTTTTCTGGTTTTCCCCTTTCTTTCGCTTCAAATCCAAAATGTAGCAGTGTTGGCACAGTTTAAGTTTTCTTTCAACTATTCTGCCATGGTTCATCTTGTTGCCCCAAAAAACACATGAACATTCTAGTAAACAAACACAACACCGTTTGCATGTTCCCACTTCCCACCTCCACTGAATTTTTATCTCCTTCATGTTATTGACCTCCCTTTGGTGTAAATTACGCATGGCTCGTTAGTTTGTTATAAGAAACATGATATGTGAACCAAGTTGACATATCGCTTATTACAATAAGGTGGATTTGACGCTGTCAGCACAGGTCGCTGATGTAGGCTCCTTTTCAATTTGCCAGAAAGACTCATAATGAGAAATGCCAGTTCAGCTGTTTTGCACTAAATCAAACCTGTTTAAGCTTGTACACCAGACTGGACAAGCAAAACTGGAAATCAACCAACTCTTGTTTACTATGTACCTTCATGCTCCCCAGATGTTGTACCATTTCAGTTTTGGGCAGCTTTTCTCTGTTGTCACCATCGGGATGTAATGTCAACCCTGCACATGAGATATCGCATAGGCTGATTATCATGAAAAGTACTGATCACATTCATTCTCTGTAGTGTAGTATCTCACACACTCACAACACACTTTCTTTTCCTCTAAACCCTGCCCCCTCTCTTTCCTCTCTGTGTGTTTTAGTGGCCATGCAGAAGATGCTGTCGGACAGCTGTGCTATGAGTCTCCTCCAGGAGGCCAGTGACTTTCGCAGAAAGAACCTGGTGTCTGAGGCCTACAGAAGGTTAAACACACACACACACACACACACACACACACACACACACCAGATCTAAGCAGACAGATGTGAACATTGCAAACTAGAGTGGCCCTAACAAACCAAACCTTAGAGAAACACGTTGTAAACTCAAGCATATGGTTTCTCTTCCATTGTCTCATAACAGTTTAGAGAATTTGGACAGGAAGTTTGATAAGATGCTGTCCCTCCAAGTTTTGGACAAGTCAAAAGCCATTGCCCACATCTTGCAGGAGGTATGTGAATAACGTAGCTGTCACAAGTGTCATGAGAGCCAGGTGGAGAAATCTTAACTGTGTGAATCAAAATCATACCTTTTGAGCAACCATCTGATTGCTCTCTACAGGAGGAGATGCAGAAAGCAGCGTTCCAGGCCCTGCAGCTGCAGAAAGATGCTGTACATGGCTACATCCGCAACCAGGTCTGTGTGGACAGGTGGAGATGGGTGGGTTGGGGGTCAAATATGTCACTCCTTTCTGGGTTAAAATGGAGCTCACCATAACACAAAAAGAATAAGTAAACACCTTCAACAAGCTCTCATAGTTTGCATCACAGATTAGCTTTTGTTCAAAATCATATTTTACATTATATTTTTATATGAAACACCCCAATGCTTGGTATAAAAAATTATTGAAATTAAACAGTAACTGACCTTCTGTGCTATCTATACACTGGTGAGCTGTTCCAGTTTACACACTGAGGTTATTTAGAGAGTAGCGGTGGACATGTTTTCTTTGAAGTGGCTGTGATGATGAATATTATTATGTTACCAACTGATCTAATAACTAAATGTAATGTGGAAGGTGTGGCTCATAGTGATGAACCAACAAAGAATTATCACCAGATCCTGCAGTTCCCCTCAGCTGTAACGGCCCAAACTTAAATGTTTTGTTTGCGTCTCACAGCTCTCATCATCTTTGTTATATATTATATTTTCGAAAAATGTTGGTGGAGACCAAAAACAGAGCTAAAAGGAGAGTGCATATTGGACTTACATTCATCAGGTAGACACAAAAACGACTTTAAACAAAGTGTTGCTGTGTGTGTAAATAACTTAACTGTTAAGCTAAGTTCACACTATACAACCTACTGTCTTGTAATCAGGGGTCTTAAAGACATGGTTTTCACACTACATGACTGACCGGCGACAGGGGCTCACATGCTACAAGATCTCTCACCAGGAGGAATCCCCAACAAGTATGTTGTGATGTGAGGAAGCACCACAGCATCGCTCTCTGTCCCACGGTCACTAACTGAAAGTCCCTGACAGGTCCAGATATGTAGCATGCTGGATATCAGGGGAGCCTCTGCAATACATCGATGAACTTTCAACAGTTAGCACATGGTGCTACCGATTTGTCTCTGATCTGGGCTTTTGTGGAGGAGCTCCATAAACTGTTGGTGAAAATCAGGGCTAAAATTGGTTAGTGTGAACTAGGCTGTGTAGGATTAAGGGGGGGATATATTGGCAAAAATTGAATATAATATTTATAACTATCCATTCATCTGTGTATAATCACTAAAAAACCTGAAACTAAGTATCTTTGTGCTTTCATGAACCACTTATATCTACAAACGGAGCAGGCTCTGTTACTCAGAGTCCACCATGTTGATTCTACAGTAGCTCAGAAAGGACAAACCAAACACTGGGTCTAGATAGGGTCATTTGCATTTTGTGTCAGCATCAACTACTGTGGTTCTCCTACATGTTTGGCACATGGGAGTCACAGTTGGTTGCAGTCTGCAAACTCAACACTAGATGTCACTAAATCCTACACACTAGACCTTTAAAAAGGGATGTATGTCTGTGTTGTGTTCACAGCTAGTTTTGCTGCCCCCAGGTGGCCCAAAAATCTGTTAGGTTAAGGAAAATCAGCAAACCTCATTTGGAGATGTAAGTGTTCACACACTAGTGCTAGTCACTGGCTTTTAGGTGAGCAGAAAATTCCCTGGTAAAGATGAATATAAAGATTGTAGACACTGGGCATTATTATCATTTCTTTTTCCTGTTTTATTCTTTTTTCCTTTCTCTTACATCACCCGCAGCCCGCCCATAGCTAGCTCATTTATACTCATACTCGTTAAGTGATTTAAAAAAATGTTTTGGTCACCAATCGGGTACCCACAAAACCCTGTGTAATATTATCTACAAACAGAAAATCATTTCATCCAGGTTTTCATCCTGACTTTTTGTTCAGCAGCATGTCCCTTCTCCCTGCTAGCTTCATGTTTGCTTCTCCACTGTCCCCAGATCAAGCTCATAGAGGGTGAATTATTGCAGCTGACTAGATTGGAGGTTAAAAGACGCAATCTGGATGCTGAGAACCTGCAGGTGGGTGTCACCGCCTTCTTTCACCGCCTTCCTACATTCACTTGATTATTTTTCTTCTTCCTGTTGATTACTGTATCATTCCTTTTGGCCGTTTTCATGTCATTGCTTCATTGCAACAATTTATCATTGTACAAACTGAGGTTCAAGAAAATAATCAGAAGGAAAGGGATATTAAATACATGCTTTCAATTAAGTGATAATGATTGTTATAATAATTATGTCAGAGCAATGCTGGTGTTTTGGGGGCTGTACTCATGTCGTGTCTTTAACTGCCTGGAAAACGCGAGGTCGAGCGCTGGGCAATACCTTTGTGCCATTTTTGTGTTAGCTTTCAAGAGCACAGCGGTAGGTTGCGTCTTAGGTTGCTAAGTGACCTTAACAAGTACTGTATCGAAGCCTGTTTACCTGAAATTTGAGTGCAGAGCTGATATTCTTCCAGGCGCTGTTTGTAGCAGGCCTACTGTGTGTGGGCATATCGTCTGTGAGACAGATGTAAAGCTCTGGCAGCTCTGCACCAAAATGATCCACTTTTCCAGATTTACCACAGACTGGTATTTACAGAAAAAGGGAATGATATCTGTCGACAGTGATTTGTTTTTTCTTGTTACATGACATGAGGTGCATGCTTCTGCGTTCCAAAAGTTGAACTCGGTTTATCTCATGGCACAGACGTTGCGTGAGAGGCACTCAGGAATGCGTGCACACCGCAACGGTGTTGCTCTGCTGTTTGAGCGCTCCCTGCCGCACATTCTCATTGAAAACAAATAATTTTAGCGCGCAAAAAAGGCAGCATGTGTACAGCCCCTTAGTGTTCCCACAGTGTTTACTGAGGAGTGTATATTGTCACTTTACGCACTTCCTGTGTGTGTGTGTGTGTGTGTGTGTGTGTGTGTGTGCGCGCGCGCAGGAGGTTCTGGTGGAGCAGCGCACAGCTCTCAGTGATTTGTTGCAGCAGCTGCTGAAGCAGAGGGACCAGAGAGAGCAGGAGCTGCGGCAGGTTTTGGTGAGGAAACAGCTGCTTTGACCAAGCAATGTCTCAAGCGTTCTTCTGTTACATTATCAAAATGATGCAACTGTGGATGCAGAGATTGCTCACATTTGCCTTCTGTTAAGCCCCCTGTAGACTGTGAGATTTTAGCAATCTTGTAAGTTTAGTGCAAACTACACTGTGCGACTTGGATCTAATAAACTTGGGTACAACATCAAGTTTGATGTATGCAGACTGCATGATGACAGCTTCTTCTGAATTGCAGGTTAAGTTGTACTATGCAATAGCTTTCCATACTGCGTGTGCAAGCATGCTGCAGGAGTTATTACTTCTCCAGCTGTGAAGCACAACAAAGAGGGTCACATAATCAAATAACCTAAAGGTTTGTGGACTCTGCTGCTATTTCCCTCCATGCCTTGCCTTCTTTACGTGATCATGGTAAGAGCTGGAGGACACATCATACAGGCAAGGCTTCTGCTGCCACAACTCTGCAAGGTTTTCCTCCTTGCTGAAATCCCTCACGTTTCTTTTAGCGTGTTTTGCCTCCATGACAAGCTGCTATCCATCTGTTTGTTTGCGTTAATTACCAGTGTGTCATTTCATGCTGCATTTCAATTGGTTGGTTAGTAGATGTGGGTCCTAACAGCAGTCACAAAGTGAGATGGTCATCCTAAATTTCTGACACTGTCAGAATTTAAATTTACAGCCATCCTTGAACCTCTTACTGTGCGACGTAGGACCAACGTTTTAGAGCCACGACCAAAGATATCGCTAAGTTTCTTTCACGGTGGTCATCTTTCGTCTGGGACAGCCCAAAATCGCACAGTGTATACTGGGCTTTAGGCTCTGCACATACCTGGTATTAATATGCGCCTTAGGTGATCTGATCACAAGTGGATAGTGTTAAATAAACAACCACCAAGTCGCATTGTTACATTGTTATTCAATCACTCAAACCACTTGCTGAGGTGACCTGGGACGTATTTGACCACAAATCATTTGTAGTGTGCACCCAGCAAGCACTACGTTATCAATGGAGGACATGGGGGTTGTTTTGGTGACAGCACACTAACAGGAGTAGGTTTGGCTGCATGACCCACCAACTAACTACATAACTCACCCACTGTAATATACATGTCAGTCCATGATCAGCCCCCTTCCCTGGAAGCCCTGAAGAAAATGCTAAATATGCATTAAGCTAATTGTGAAGTATTGGATTTAAAGATAGGTGGTTAAAGTTAGGTAAAGGTAATGGGAAAGGTTACATCTCGTTTCTTACAAGGTGATTCACGTCTTCATATATAATGAATTACAAAGTAGATTATTGCTATGTTTGGCCCTATTTTTTTAATACAACATGGTGTTATAGCAGGGTTCAGATAACTGTTGGGTTGGTGGGTGTGTCTTGTACTTGTGGTGGGCATGGTTTGTAGGGGCGTGTCATGTACGCTACAAACAGAATGTGTCTGCAGCTTTGCATGTCTCCACTAACGCGCCATAACTTGCACATTTTACAAGGTAGATGAAGTGTTGCATGACCGTCCATTGTTTTGCTGTATGGAAAGAGACCTGTTAAATTTTGCTGACAGTAATGGCTCGAGGTCTACCAAGACAACCATTAATCTAACTAGCAAGACTGTGAAAGTAATAACTGTTCGTGGAGCCCTTTGACCTTCTTGCCCAGGTGACATAAGCAGTAACAAAATCTAAACACAAGTGGTCAGCTGGAGATGTATTATAGATACAGGAGTGTACAGTGACATGTCTCAGTTGTTCACCTGTGTTAGGATCACCAAAATGCATGTTAATACCAAGTGTTAACAGGCTATCGGTCATTGACACACATCATAACGTCTTTTCTCATCCTGGGGTTGAGTAGTTAGATGAGACCAATGAGCACTTTGTGTTTTCCAGGTGGAGATGGAGCAAAAGTCAGAGTCCAACCAACAGAACTACTGGATGATCCAGTACCAGAGGCTGTTGGATGCTAAGCCGCTGTCACTGCGTATGCAGGTGCAGTACAGAGCAAGGCAAACACACAGAAACATCTGAAGCCCAAACTGTGCTGCTGTTAAACTGTAATCTTCATGCAGGAAGCCGGTGTGGAGAAAGAGCTGGTCAACCTGTTATGCAAACTCTCAGCTCAGCATTACCTGCCCATCCTGGCCCATAATCGAGTGACAGCTGAGGCCCTTCGCCACATGAACTCCTCTGACCTCAAGAAGGTTTGTCTGCAACATCATTACTAACACATTATCATCGGTTGCCACTTTCATATTGGAGATGATTCAACACATTCTGTAACACTCTGTTTTGATATCAGCTTTCTTCTCTGTCAACACAAAGCCACCACTGTACAACACTGTGAGTTACTGCCCCAGCATCTGTACAGTAGTCTCGCCACCAGACAATCAGAGATCTCCGCCTTCTGATAGTCTGGGGACACTCCTTTCTAAAGTGTGTTTAACACACCGGAGAAAACGACCAGCAACAAAGCAACACCTCTAAAATTTTTGAAAAGGACAAGACATCAAGGAAATGTGAGCTAAACCTTTTATCGTCCGCAAGGAAACAAACACACAGAGAGCTTGAAAATAGATGCCAAGAGATTTAACTCCGTTTTATCAAACATGTGCTCAGTCCACAAGATTGTGGAAATGAAGGACTTACAGCGACTTTGTTTAAAACTTTTAACGCAGTCAGACTATGTTTACGAGCACAAGAGTTCAGCGAGCCACCGAAGGACCACCCTGCGGATTTACGAATGGTTCTGCAACGTAGGGAGTTTTTTTAAACTCTGAAATTGTATTTGACCATCTAAAACACAAAATCAGGGAGAAAGACATCAGTCTTTAGTTAAGCAAAGCGTCTAAAGACTGACTTGTGAATCTGTCTGTACAGAGTCACACTGACATCCTCAACTAAGAAAGCACAAAAAAAGATCAGTACTCATTAACGATTATGATTCAGAATCCCCAGTTAGGGCTTGTCATGTCCTTCATGAAACTGTTGTAAATGTGCAAAACTATCCTGATAATTGGACTGATTTTTTTATTTTCACTTCATCATTCAGTTGGACATTGTGGTCATTCTAGCCACTCTCTTGGTAAGAGGGGAGTATTTTGCCACTAACATTCAGCAGTGAGTGAGCTGTCCTGTTAACATAATTCCCAGTCAGCAGAAGCTGGGGTGGTGGTGTCAGGAACAGTTAACTTAAGGCTAACCTAAATCAATTAGCCATCCCTTTAGCAGTCAAAAATGATTTTTAAAGCAGCTATTTTCAATATTTTATCATAAAAATGGATGAAATGACAAATCACTGTGTATATAGAAAGAGGTTCCTGGTAGTCACATAATAATCACATGACTCAGCAGTTCCCTTCAGCTCTACAGAGCTTTGTAGTGACTTTCAGCTCATTGTTTTGGTTTCCTGGCTGCAACTTTACTGTTCTGGTTCAATGCCACCATTTTAAGCATCGCTGAAGCAGCTCAGCTTTTTCAGTGAAAAGCTCTAAAAACTCACTGTGCATAACCTGCCCAGATCACACAGAAAGTGTTATTGTTGCCAGGTAACTACCCCATCATCTCCTAACCTTGATGTGTAATCAGTCTATTGTTTATTTTGGTTAGCTAAAACTACCCACCTATTTTTACAGTAATCAGTATCTAGTTCCTAAAATGGACGGGCAGAGGGTACTTGCTCTATCTGTGGTTGAGGGTGAGAGGCTTTCAGCAAATAGTTTGTTGGACACAGAGAAACAGAGATCTGTGTAGATACATGAGACCCTAAAAAAGAGGGTGGATCACGAAGAGTACCTCGAGTTTCTCCTACATTGTTTACTAAGTGTAAACGTGTTGTTGTGGCTAGAGAAGGCCTGCCTTTCAAATCACCTGATTTGACAATGGGGAAAAACAACAGAGATGGCGTGGGGCACTTTTCCGCTCTGAGTTTAAGTTTTTTCAACCCAAAAAGTTCAGAGTGCACCATCAAAATAGCCTAGAGCGCAGAAACAGTGAGCAAAATGCTTCATTCTCATTTAAAAACGCTTTCTGTTTGATCAGGGCCTCATAAGTGAGCTAGTGAATGTAGTTGAACATTAAGCAGCTGAAGAGGCAGATATTTTTCTAAAAAGTTGGTGGAGACCGAAGTCAGAGTTAATAGAGAGCAAATATTGGACTTGAATTAATCAGCTGGACACAAACATGACTCTAAATGAATGATCATGTCTGCTGAATATGTTAATAACTGTAACTGCTGGCTAATTAAGTTATCCATATCAGCTAAATGGACAGTTCATAATCAAATATATATATTTTTCCATTTACTTGTAGTGCTGTTCATCAGTCTAGATGGTTTTGGTGTGAGTGGCCGAGTGTTGGGGATGTCGGTCTTCTCTTCAGTAATGGAACTAGATGGCACTTGGCTTGTTGTGCTCATAGTGCCAAAAACAAAAAAACAAAAACAAAAAAATTAATCGAGAAACTCAGCAGCATGTCTCTTTACAGAAGTCATGACCAGTTACTCAAGATAATCCACATAGCTTGTTGTGAACAGTTTCATGAAGGAACTATTTTCTTTCAACTGAACTACACCCGCCAACTGTATCACTGTGCAGAAGGAAATGTGCATCTACCCATGGACGAGAGGCTCATCTTCATGACAGCGTGAGATGTAAACATTAATGGCATCCTCCTCGGCTGAGCTGTAATGTATGCAAGCTCAGTAGTGCTAGGAGAGATAGTGGTAGATGCACACCTTCTTGTGCATGGTGATACGGTTGGTTAAGTGTAGTTTAGTAGAGAAGAAATGGTTTCTTCATGAAACTGCTCACTACAAGGTCTTTGGATTATCTTGAGTAACCAGGTCATGATTTCTGGAGACATTGCTGTTAAGTTTCTCTAATGTATTTGTTTAAGCCCTTTGAGCGCCACAAGCTGAGTGCCATCTAGTTCCATTATACACTCAACTCACATTAAAACAATCTAGAATAAACAGCACTACAGGAGAAAAAGGAAAAATGTGTTTCTGATTTTTTAAGGTGATGGTATGTCAGTGCTGTGTTTACAGCTTGTTGTGCTGACCCAAGGTACTAAAAAGAAATGAATGTGGGTTTAACACGTAGAGTAATCAGCATTATTCATTTCTCTGTTTTCAGCTTGGCATCAATGAAATAGGAATCCAGAAAGCTCTTCTTAACTGGGCTCGGAATCAACAACCTGAAGGTACATTACACACATCCTGTATGTCATACAATTCATCTGCACATGATGTGTGAGTTTTCAAAGCCAAAAAAAATCTTCTCTGCCCACTCTGGTCACAAAAAAAACAACAACACAAAAATGTGATATATGAAGTCTCAACAATCATAATAACATTCAGCATACCAAACACATACTGCATCAACAGAGAGGAAAACTTGAGGGCAGAAGAGTTGCACTGCATTGCATTAGACTGTACAGGTGTACCTAATAAAGTGGACACTGTGTAGATCAGAGGGTGTGGTAATTAATTAATATGCTGTCAGCCAATTGCATCACTGGTCTCACTGTGCTGAAACAACTGAACTACTCATAGTGACAACAGCAACTCAAAAAATGAACTGGCTTGGTGTCATTTTATTTATTTTAACACATGAACACTGTGGACAGCTGTGTGTAATGACACTGCGCTCCAGCACAGCTCTTCCCAAACCAGAGACTGTGTCCTGCTGCCTACAGGTGGCTGCAGGGATTTCATGTACTGAAGGAGAAATGTATATTTCAGCCTATTTTAAAGGATGGAAAATGATGTGTTTGACAAACTCAATAAAAAGCCAACCTGTTTCTGTTCACTCGCAATCTCTTTCTCCAACAGGAGCCTATAAGAGTGTCCAGCAGGACGAGGAGGAAGAAGTTGTCCCCTCAGCTCCAACTCCTTCTTCCCCTCCATCGTTTCCCAGCACCTCAACCATCCACATGCCCAGCCCACCACTCACCCCAGGAACCCCTGTCACCCCCTCAGCCCCCAGCCCTGTGGAGGGATCAGGGAGCTCAGAGTGTGTGGTCTGCATGGAGAAGGGGGTAAGAAAAGCTCACAGCAAAACCAGGAAGTAATACCTTTGATCTCAGTAACACTGAATACTACACTTCTTATTTTTGCACTGCACATTTGTTTGGCGTTTTTATGCCTCCACACAAGTGATAGCCATGACCGGAGGCATTATGTTTTCAGGTTGTCCATCCCATCCTTGTGAACATGCTATCTCAAAAAACACTTCAAGGGAATTTCTTCAAATATGGCACAAATGTCCACTTGGACTCAACAATGAACTGGTTAGTTTGTGGTCACTGTGACCTTGTCTGTCTCATTCTCGTGAATTGCAATATCTCTAGAACACCTTGAGAGAATTTCCTCAAAGTTGGCACAAAAGTTGACTTAAACTTGAGGATGAACTGATTTAGATTTTGCTGGTCAAGGGCCAAAGGTCAAGGTCACTGTGACCTTTTCTGCCTCATTCTTATGAACGTGATATCTGAAGAACAGCTTGAGGGAATTACTTAAAATTTGACACAAACATTTAGAAACAAAAAGTCGACATTATACTGTATACATTACATTGTATGTGTATAGTACACTTATCATTAACTTTTTCAGTTGAAGACACTTTTAGATAAAACGCCACTGAACACCACTATGAATGAAAGCGAAACCTTAGATGATGATAGGTCACAATTGTGATTGGCCCGTTAAGCTTTAACCAATGCCAGAATGTGCCTTTATGATTGCATGGCCAGACTGATCTGCAGAGCGAAATAGAATATGAGCTCACGAGATCAGGATGGTTTCACCAGGCTAGTTCAGTAGTGGTTCAGTAGTGTTTTTTCTAAAAAAGTCTTTCAGCATTCTCTTCATTTTCTCTTCTCTCCAGCATGAATTAGCTTCAGCTTCTAGTTAGTTCTGAGTGACAGAAGTGGGGGATACTTGGACCAGAAGAATTATTTACACTCGCACCAGTGCTCCCAATTATATTTTGAGGTCGCACAAATGAAATTTTGGTCGCATATGCGACCAAAACGGTCGCAATTTTGAACCCTGTAATTATGACAAAACTTCACACAAATGTCTAGTGATGACATTTTATATCCAAAAGGTCAAAGGTCAACTTTTACTGTGACATCATGATATTCTGCAAAAACACTTTTCTGGCCATTACTTAACATCATATCTCAGGAACAGAAGGGGAGACCTTTGGTCAAATACTGAATTTGTGACTCCTTATCTTGGGTGTCCACCTTGAAACTGTGCTGATTGTATAGATCGCCTGTGCTGTTGGGGGAGGTGTGTGTGAAGCATCCATGTTTTCACAGACATGGAAGTAAACTGTAAGGGAAACTTGACTGGTGCGCGGAGGCACACGGCCACGAGGCGGTAATAGAGGATTGTAGAGGACGTAAAATGAGGATCATTAATGTGTCTAAAATTTCGATTTACTGTGCAGTGAACTATTGAGTGTCTGTTATAAAGGAAGTAGTGGATGATTGAACGAGGGTGGGATTCCAGACACAGCTACTGATTCCATGGCAACATTGTACTCTCTGGTTACATTCCTCAAAGTGCATTTATCCTCTTGTGCTTTTGTGTTTTTGGTTTTGGAAGGCCCAAAAAAAAGATACTACCCTCCAATCTCTCTAAATGCAGAGGATCACTGTTAACCATTAATCCGTAACATACATACACACACACTTTTCCAGTCAACTGACAGTGTCTCATCTCTCTCTCTCCAGTCCCAGGTCATCTTCCTGCCCTGTGGTCATGTGTGCTGTTGTCAGTTGTGCAGCGAGGCTCTGCAAAACTGCCCTCTGTGTCGTGGCAGCATATCCCAGCGCGTCCGCCTCTATCACAGCTAGGACCAGCTGCATTGTGCTACTCCTTCATCGACTGCATCTCTCTGTATTTATGCATGATCATAAAGTTGCTGTGAGCTGACTATGTCATTTAAGAAAAGCTTTGAGCAGGTTGTCAAAGAGCTGAGCCACTTTCCTCTATTAACCAAACTTTGTGATGTACATGCAGAAACAAGCCTGGATAGGATTATTTTAATGGTGTTTAGTTTTTTTGTTGTCACTGGCATCCGAGCCTGTTTTATTTTCTCATTCTTATGATATTTTATTTTTTTCTATTGTATATTAGAGCCAAGTGGACTATACAGTACCACTCACTGGTTAAAGACGACTGTTCTTTGCCTTTTTATAGTTTCTCAATTGATGTGTGCCTTTATCTGGAAATCTCTGTTTTTAAACGATACCACTTGTCTGTGTTGGTAACCAAAGTAACACCTGTCCAGCATTTCTGTAAGTTATCTAAAACATAATCTATTGATTGTTATTGCTTTTTTTTTGCTATCACTGCCGGTGCGTCCCCAATGCAACCCTCATCTTGTCACTCTTCAATCTATGACACAATCTGTCCTGCCCTCACTGCCACGGGCTTTTGTCCCCTCTCACCCAGCTCCCCCTGTGCCTGCTGCAATCATGTATCTGCTGTTAATATGGAGGAATTATATCTGTGCACATTAGATCATTTGTGGGGAAACTCATTTCTGCCCAGGTTAAAAAATGAGCTGCAGAGCCCTGTTAACACTTCCAGTCCCTGTCACTCTCTATATTATATCACTGTAATTCTAGTGCTATTTTTTCTAACTACACGGCCCCATATTTGCTGTGTGGTAATGTAGAACACATAGAACTGTATAAATGTACACCATTTAAGCAAAATGAGAATAATGAAGATCCCAAAGGGGAACGTTTTATGTTTAGTTTTGTTTTAATTGTGAGTGCTATTCATCCTGTACAGTTAATAATATTTTCTGTGGCTCTAGAGAAGCTTTTTAAAGTCAATAACCTTCTCTCAGCTTGAGCTTGGAGACTACAGATGTTTAATAGGAAGCATGCATTGCAAAGAGGGGGTATGGAAATTGAAAGATGTGTTTGCCCAACTAATTAAAGACACTTTTGAGTTGCATCATGGGAAATGTAGCAATGTTGGAGCTTGCCCCACACTTGAGGACTAAAAGTCAGGATTTCTCAGCCTCAGCTTCTTTGATGTTGAACCTTTTCTTAAATATCTGTAACACTATTACCCCAGCTTATAGAAAGTGCAATACTAGAAGGAGGCCATTAAACTAGATATTAACATTCTTTAAAGGGTATTTTCCAACCTGGGCGCTATTTTTATTTTTTGAAATTGGTCCAGTATTGAGTGAGAAAGCAGAGAAATTGGCTGCAGTGTAATCCCTGGGGGCATTCGAGCTCTGTCTTTTTATGTCTACTGAAAGTAGTGAAAGTGTCTGACAACTTTCAGAAAGGATTTCCACAACAGTTGACCTCTTTGTTAAAGAGTAAGACCCGTTTTGTTTAACCAGAAACAGCCCTGAGATCACCAAACAAACCAGACTCTTCTTAAATAAATAGCAATTTAAGAATGCATTGAACCAGCATATTTTCACATCTAACTGGGCGATTTAAGAGTCAACAGCTTAACAAGCAGTTGAGTGGAGGCAAATTGATGGTGATCAGTTGCCTGCGGAGATTACAATCCAGCCAGTTTCACTGCAGCTATCTGCAGCGGTCTCGCTTAATACTTTGAAAAAAATCTGATTTGTCTTGGACCTCACTTCAGTCTCAGTCCCGCTTGTCTGACATATCTTGTCTGATCCCACTCTTATTTGAATTGCTATGTATTCGGGCTGCACAATAAGAGGAAAATATGCCATGTGCAATCATGCTGAATATCGTGATATTACTTGCGAAACATATTCAAGTCTACTCAGCTCTGCCTTTTTGCTGCTTTCAGTATACTGCTGAAATACAAAAACTTGCTTTGTGAATTGAAAAATGAAAGGAAATTACTTGCAGCAGTCTTTCATTGAACAAATTGAACATTAAAAACAAAAGGCACCAACAAGCTTACTACTGATCCTCTCTGTAAACTAACTTTAAAAAAATCCCTGAGTGTAATAACGCAGTCTTTCACGACATGATTATTGTTGAAGTTGACCTCACAAAATACACAATATATTGTGCAGCCCTACTATACTGTGTATGGTGCATTTGTATGCACTGACAACACCTTACCTGTCTGTTACTAACAACATATCACCTGTGTGTAACTAATAACACATCACCTGTTTGTAACTACCAACACATTACCTGTGTGTAGCCATCACTAATGCTATTATACTCAAGTGCTCTTAACTTCAACATCCCAGCATGTTTCAGGAAATATCTTAACTTATTGTGTATGACTGTTAAATGTAGTGTGTAAGAGACTTCACCTCTTTATAAATCAAACATTTTATGTCAGCAGACAGTGTGCTGTAAAGTCTATGTGTGTTTTCCTGTACTCACATTGTGATCAATGTAAAAGCTTTGTGTTGCTGAAGAGATGCACTGCTCCTACACAGGCAGCAACTCATGGAAATGTACTGAAATACAATATACAAACTGAGTCATGTTCTTGAGTGTCGACACAAATGTATATTTTATGTAGTTGGACACCTGCTGTCATTTGACATCTTATACTTGCTTACATAGTAAGTAATCTTGGAACCTGCCTATGTTTTCTTGGAGGTGGTTTAAGTGACTGTTAAAGCTCTGAACCACAATTCACATTAGAAGTGAAACATTTGCAAGAACCTTTGTGAGCGTATAATGTGGTAAAGCCATTTTTTTAATTAGTCTGCAGGAAGATGTAGTATAAACACAGTGGTCAGATCCTTTGCTTAAGTAAAACACCAATACTATTATAGAAAAATGTACAATTTTAACCATAATGCATTTTTACTGCTGTAGCTGGTCATGGTGGAGATAGTTTTAACTACTGATAAACAATGTAGTCCAGTGGTTCCAAACCTAGGGGTGAGGCCCCCAAAGGGTTACAGGATAAATGTGAGGGGTCGTGAGATCATATATGAGGGCCAGAAAGAAGAGGAAACAAGAAGGAGAAAGTTCTGCGACAAAGTTGCATTCATTTTTTTGGACTTTAATGTAGTAACTTATAACTATAGCTATCAGATAAATGTAGTGGGGTAAAAACCAGTCTTTCCCTCTGAGGTTTAAAATTGTAAACATGAAAATACTCAAGTACTTCAGAAGTGTACCTACTTCGAGGGTAACTGTGGTATTTGTCAACCTGGACCCTATTTTCTCATGTTTTTGTGTCCAAGTGACTAATAGCAACAACAGTTTTTGATTTGAGTCCAGCATTGAGTGAGACCACTGCAGCTAGCAGTAGCCACTTAGGGCAGTTGTGCATAGTCATTTATACCGAAGTGACCCTTTCAATAGTTTTCTTCAGTAGTTGTACCAGTTACTTGTAGCCTACTGAACTGCTTCGTATGTCACATTATTGACTCAGTCAAATTCGTGATTTGGACCAAAATAAAAAGTTGATATGTCATAATTTGACTTGAGTAAGTATGTTTTTCATTTAATAGTAACATTCCTAACATTTCATCTTGTTTTTGTTTGTTTTTTTCTGGTGGAAATGGGCTTCTGTAAACCTAACTTAACCCTTTGACACCTGGAGTGACATCACTTTCCTTGTGCTTCAAACCTTTAAGCCCTGAGTAAATTGGTGCGATTTCTTTCAAAAACATGAGAAAAAGGGCAGTGTGCAACTTGTTAAGAAATGTCCCACAAATTGAAAACAAAAATAGATTTAGAGAATTATTATTAGAATACTAGGAGGGGAAAAGAAAAAAATAGATTTGTGATTATTATTATTATTATTATTATTATTACATTTTAAGATTATGCTACAGCATTATTTTTGAAACACTCTTTTCAAGTCACTTCCTTGTTTAATTAATTTATTTTTTGATTGAATTGAATTTCTTACTAATTTTCTCCTTTTACTAATTTATTGCTAATTTTTTGGGTCATATCTTCTTCTGTTGCTCATTGCTTTCTTCCCATGTTTTTTTAAAAAAAAAACAAGACAAGGGTTTTCAAGGGTTAATGGCTAGTTTGAGAATAATTGTAAAATACATGCAGCATTTGGTTAAAGCTTACAGCATTAAAGACTGCATGTGACGCGTTCACTAATAAAACAAACAAATTAGACATGAGTTTATTGACCAGTTTTGTCAGTGAGCATTTTGATACTAGACAGTACCCACGTATCTAGTTTGGACCAATGGAGCCCAAAGAAAAGCTATAAAACACGACAGAAACCCGTGACCTATTTTCAACGCTATTTTCAAGCATGAAAAGGAATGATTTCTGATTTTCCTTGGGCGGACATGAATGCAGCATCAGAACACGAGCCAATCACAACGTGAACCTAGCTTGCCGTAAAGTGTAGCGTTGATGTTCAGAATGAGAAGCTGTAACGTCACCTAGTGGAATTATTTGTTAGTTTTATTAAAGTTTAAGGCTATTGTTGACGAAGACAGTTGCGGTAAGTATCTCGTTTTCTTAGTATTTGGTGAAATATGTGATTGAGGAGAAAAATGAATATGAACAAAAATAATTTACCACATTTTCCAGGCAACTGACTTGCTAGCAGCTAGCAGCACAGTGATGTAATGCCAAGTACCTTCATGTAACATTATAGAGAGATGGGATGTAACGTAACTAATGTCTTCAATTAAGGTACGAAACTGCGTTTTAAGAGAGTATTACATTACCAAGACTTCAATTGAGATGTTTTATATTTAAGTAATTAAGACACATTGCTACTGCACAAGGTTACCTTCATTGTCTGGCGCAAGAAAAATAATTCTTTGATTAAATGAATTGCTGCGTGAAAGACAAACATGTCACAATAAATAATAAAGTAATCTGCTTATATTGAGCACAGTAAAAACAGATTGATTGTACCTGGCTCACTATATGGACGCACTGGCTGAAAGTGAACGTCATTCCATTACATGATGAAGTGATTACATGCAAAGAAACACACTACCACAATCATATGACACAAGTATAATTACAAAAATACCAAAAAAGAAATAGTGGCCATACAAATCACATCACACAGCACAATGCGTTCCCATCATTTTGCCATATCCTGTTACTGTTTGTTGAGCCTTATTACTATAAAACATCATTAGAGACATGCCAGGTTGTTTAGTAATAGTGTTCTTGGTAATTGTTGGAAATAACTGAGTATGCACTGTGGACTTCTTCATAGGCTGCTCCATGTATGTAAGATTGATGTAATTATTAATTTGTCTGCACTGACACTTGCATTCTCTGCTTGTATGTGGGACTTAATGCTCTTTATGTGTTTTTGTTCATTTGATCATTTGTGTGTTTGTTTACACCTTTCTAGTATTCTTTTTATTTTCCAGGTCCATGCTCTTCTACAATAACAGTTTATTTTGTGACTTTGTTTGTCACAGTCATCATGTCAAAGCCCACTCTGCTTGTCCTGTACGGGAGTCAGACTGGTACGGCCCAGGACACGGCCCAGAGGATTGCGCGGCAGGCGCAGAGAAGACAGCTGCAGGTTCAAGTGTTGCCTCTGGATAACTACAACGTGGTGAGTGCGGTGTTAGCAAGGAGAGGGGATTGTTATGGTTCTGATCATTTTTAGTTCCAACACAAGATCTGGGGATTGAACTAGGTTCCCTGTAGTGGTGGGTGATATTTGTTTGGGGATGTCAAAGCCTACATAAATCACACGAGAACATTGTGTCATCATGTGTTTCCTCTCATCAAACAGGCCAACTTGATCTCAGAGTCTCTGGTTGTTTTCGTATGCGCCACAACTGGTCAAGGAGACCCTCCTGACAATATGAAGGTAATACTACAGATAGAAAATGTAAAGAACACAACAAAAAGGCATGCACTAGGAGGAACAATAGTTTCAGTACATTTTTTGGGTGATCTGTCCCTATTTAACAGTTTTCAAAATCTGTTTGAAAAACCATAGGATGCATGTGAATATGGATGTGATCAATGTGTATGTTTTCATATTAAAATCTTATATCAATAATTTTATTTAGATTTTCTTATTTTATACCAGACCCATTAGATTTGTCAAAATACAGACTAATACACTGAAATAAGAAAACCCCTGTCTTTCTGCCTATGTCTTCTTTCTCCAAAGAACTTCTGGAGGTTTGTCTTTAAGAAGTCTTTGCCTGTTGGCTCACTGAGTCGATTGGATTGTGCCATACTGGGCCTGGGGGACTCCTCCTATCCTAAGTCAGTCCTTTTCAGAGTTACACCTCTCACAGACAGTTCACATTCTAAATGACTCATGGTCTTAATAAAAGCATCAACTGCTTTCACCCGTAGGTTCAATTTTGTGGCTAAGAAGCTTTATAAGCGCCTTCTGCAGCTGGGGGCCAGTATGCTGCTGCCTGTTGGGCTGGCAGATGACCAACATGACTTGGGGTAAGAAAAATGTGTCTGAGGAGCTGATGAATCATTAACTGGGAGGAAAAATAAAGCTCAGAATAAATTTTTATTCCAGGTATTTTTATCATGTTTGTCTACAGCATTTTAACATGATTTTACTCATCAGATAGACATTTTACAGTTTTTTTCCACACATTTGCACCTGTGCACTGTAGTGTACACCAGTCAGCCAAAACATAAAAACCACTGGTGGGTTATGTGATTAGCATTGAGCATTTTGTTACAATGCAATGTTCTGCTGGGAAAACTTTAGTCCTGGCATTCATGTGGATGCCCCTTGACAAGCACCACCCATCCAAACAACGTTGCAGGTTGTGTACTGTGGATTGGGATCTGGGGACTTTGGATTCCAAGTCGACACCTTGAGCTCTTTGTAATGTTCCTCGGGTCATTCCTTGACAGTTTATATGGTGTGACATAGTGCACTGTCCAGCTAGGGAGGCCACTGCCATCAGGGAGTGCCGTTGCTGTGAGGGGGCAATGCTGTTTGGGTGGGTGGAGCACGTCAGGTGGCATCCACATGAATGCCAGGACCAAAGTTTTTCCAGAAGAACTTTGAATTGTTATGAGATGATCAGTGTTTTTCACTTCACCTGTCAGTGGTTTTAATGTTTTGTGTGATCGGTATATGTTTTTCACTTTGTTAAAAAGTGCTGTATTATGTTCTCTTAGCTGAGCATTTAGGCAGTAATTCTTTAAAGAGTGCTACACTGAGCAATAGTGGGCTCAAGTTATGATAATACTAACACAATATTAATACAAGCAAAACTAGTTTCATAACTGCAAGTTATAATAAGCCATTGTTAAGACTTTGCCCCAAAAAGCTCACTTAAAATAGGAATTAGATATGGAAAGAAAATTAGTTCATACAACAGATTAATTCCAGGAGGTAACTTGTAAAATATTTCTCCATCTGCATTTTTTGTTTTGTATCTCAAAACTACAGCACTGATAACATTTTGTGCTAAGTCGAGAGAGAACTGAGAATGCGATTTTGTTTTTGGTGCAGATTCAGAGCCAGCAGTGTCACCATGTAGACATTTATTAAGCTTTGTATATTTGAACTCATCACAATATTTATTTGCAGTTTGATTCCTTGGTCCAAGAAATCTGTTTCTATCTGTGATGTCACACTCACCATTTTGCTGCTCTCAATTTCTATTTCTAACACAACTAATGTTTTTCATTTTGTAATTAATCAAATTGCTTTGTCTTTGACAGTAGCTCAACAGTGATCGCAAAAAAACGGCAAAAAGATTTAAGACTTCCTGCAGGTTTCACATTAAAAGAGAACGTTGACGCTCCTTAGAGAGTGTTGAGTTCTGCTTGAGAGAAAAAGACTGTGTTAAAGTCTGGAAAAAAAATAAGTGAACTAAAACAGTACCTAAAATTCAGAGTTGTGTTACTGATGAAAATGTAAGTATTGTAGTATAGTATGTATTCAGAATTGATCAATTTATCAACAAAGTAGAGCACGTCTGAAAAGGTGTGGAGAAAAAAGGGAATGACATGCAACAAATGCTCTTAGCTGGAATTGAACCAGAGACGTGTTTGTGTTTACTTCACCCAAAATATTTTTGAACCAGGTCAGATGCTGCGATTGACCCATGGCTCACATCATTTTGGGAGAAAGTGTTTGCCCTGTACCCATCTTTGGCCAATGTGATTCCACTGAGAGAGGATCAACCGTGAGTATTCTCCTGATTTGACACAGCATTTATTCTGTGGTCGCATATTTTGATTATGAGTTTGCGTCCTAAAAGCCTATTATTAACTCCTCTTTGGGTTTAGTGCTGAATCCTAGTCACATTGATTTTTTTTTTTTGCTGTCTTCATGTGGCAGGCTTCCTCCAACGTACACCTTCCACTTTCTGGATGATGTAAAGGAGAAGACAGAGGACAGGCTGAGGATTCCCACAGAGCAAACTGTCCCCTGCCAGTCTCATCCCTTTCCTGCCAGACTAGTGTTCAACAGGAGAATAACAGACATGTCACACTTTCAGGATGTGAGGCACATAGAGTTTGATATCA